CGTAAATGTAAAGTTCAAACTAGGGACTCAGCTATGATAAGGCCAATCACAAAGTTGTGCCTTTTAGAATGTTCAGACTAATTATTGTATTACGCTGAAAATATTTCACAAGATTATGTTAATGTTTAAAAGGATACATACTGTGTATTAAATAGATTGTTTTAACATTAGCAAGTACTTTAATATAATGCATGATTTATTGCAAATATAATCATTCTAATGAACATGAAGTTCGTTGCAATTTACATTTTTGTATCGATAATATATTGTTAATTGACATTAAATGATTTGATGAAATTAAGATATTTCATGGAGGGCACTGTAAGAATCGTTTATTACCGATTCTAATTAAAATATATAATATATATCTTACGTTAAGCGTTGTTTGGCGCCAACTTATTTAACGTTACGCGCTGAATAGTTTAGCGCGTCATTTTGACGTAATTGTTTGTTATGAATTTAAAAGGTAACTTCCGTTATATGTAGCGGCGTTAAACGTTAAAGCTGAAACTGTATTTTAAAGGTTTCGATGTGAAAGACATTATAGTCGGTATGATAGCTGCTTAAATTATTTTGATTTATTTATTTGTTAACGGATAAAAAGAATTTTCTAATGAAGTATTTATTAATTTTAATCAATTGTTACGATTATTTATTTTATGGATTTTAACTGTACTTCTGTTTATTAAGATTCTTCGTCATAGGAAATAATTATTTAATTATTCTATTCTATTATTTATTTGTTAAGTTTATATCAGAAATGAATGTATTAGTTAATTACTTTATCATTTGTTTCAGAGAAACGCTTTGTTCTATGCTGATGTGTGAAAATAAAAGATATACTGGCATGCGAGCAGTTCCCGTACAAAAATCGTAGTTACTTTAACATTATTTTTTATTACGCTCACTCACCAAAATTTGAATGTTACACATCAATATTCAGCTCGTCACACAAATCATGGAAATTCCATCATGTTCTAAACATAGAATAACCTTAGTTATGAGGCCTCATATGGGGTACCGAAATTATCAATTATTTTGTATGAAGAGAAGTAGTTCCCGTACATAAAATCTAACCCATTATAATTATACAATTTTATTATATCGGACCTATTTTTCATTTACAATTGTTGAACAGACCATTATCTAAAAGATAAATAGATGTAATTCAGGAAATAGAGCGTAGACTAAACGCGGGTATCTATTACCCGGTACCGTTACCCCAACGCATTTACAGGCAATAGCATGCTTGTATGCATGATATTTTACGCATCAAAGCCATAAAATTATTATATATAGTAATATTGGTCAACATTCTGCTAATTAAACAAGTTTTCATCACATTGCCTACTTATTTGTAAACAGGTGGTATTAGTGGAAAACCCTTTAACAAGCCTCACGTGTAAGTATTTTTGCGCATGCGCGCAAGGACGGAATCCCCCAGAGAAAACAAGGTCACGTTTTGACGACGCACAGGTGAAAGTGATTTAAAATGAGACTTTATATACGTACTGTCGAACTGACACTTACATTTTGTCTCGTTTATGTATCTGCTTGATTTGAAATGAATTTTTGATGAATGCAAGTAAAAATCAAGCGTTTAAATGAAAAATACGGGTACTGCTTCTGTACGGGAACTGCTCGCATGCAAGTATAGAAGCGCATACTCGAAAAGTCTAGTTGTTATCCGAAATCCTTTACAATACTCTTGCTCCTCCAGCTGTACTGTACAAGGCACTATGACAATACTTTTGCTCCTCCAGCTGTACTGTACAAGGCATTATGACAATACTGTTGCTCCTCCAGCTGTACTGTACAAGGCACTATGACAATACTCTTGCTCCTCCAGCTGTACTGTACAAGGCACTATGTCAATACTCTTTCTCCTCCAACTGTACTTTACAAGGCACTATGACAATACTTTTGCTCCTCCAGTTGTACTGTACAAGTAATATGTCAATACTCTTGCTCTTCTAGTTGTACAAGTACAAGTCACTATGACAATACTCTTGCTCCCCCAGCTGTACTGTACAAGGCACTATGACAATATTCTTGCTCCTCCAGCTGTACTGTACAAGGCACTATGACAATACTTTTGCTCCTCAGGATGTACTGTGCAAGGCATTTTGTCAATACTCTTGCTCCTCCAGCTGTACTGTACAAGGCACTATGACAATACTCTTGCTCCTCCAGCTGTACTGTACAAATTGACAATACTCTTGCTCCTCCAGCTGTACTGTACAAGGCACTATGACAATACTCTTGCTCCTCTAGCTGTACTGTACAAGGCACTATGACAATACTCTTGCTCCTCCAGCTGTACTGTACAAGGCATTATGACAATAAATGTCTTGCCCGTACAAGGCACCATGGCAGTACTCTTGCTCCTCCAGCTGTACTGTACAAAGCACTATGACAATGCTCTTGCTCATCCAGCTGTACTGTACAAGACACTATGACAATACTCTTGCTCCTCCAGCTGAACTGTACAAAGCACTATGACAATACTCTTGCTCCTCCAGCTGTACTGTACAAGGCACTCTGACAATACTCTTGCTCCTCCAGCTGTACTGTACAAGGCAGTATGACAATACTCTTGCTCCTCTAGCTGTACTGTACAAGGCACTATGACAATACTCTTGCTCCTCCAGCTGTACTGTACAAGTCACTATGACGATACTCTTGCTCCTCCAGCTGTACTGTACAAGGCACTCTGACAATACTCTTGCTCCTCCAGCTGTACTGTACAAGTCACTATGACAATACTCTTGCTCCTCCAGCTGTACTGCACAAGGCACTATGACAATACTCTTGCTCCTCCAGCTGTACTGAACAAGTCACTATGACAATACTCTTGCTCCTCCAGCTGTACTGTACAAGACACTATGACATTACTCTTGCTCCTCTAGCTGTACTGTACAAGTCACTATGACAATACTCTTGCTCCTCCAGCTGTACTGTACAAGACACTATGACAATACTCTTGCTCCTCTAGCTGTGCTGTACTGTACAAGACACTATGACAATACTCTTGCTCCTCTAGCTGTACTGTACAAGTCACTATGTCAATACTCTTGCTCCTCCAGCTGTACTGTACAAGACACTATGACAATACTCTTGCTCCTCCAGCTGTACTGTACAAGACACTATGACAATACTCTTGCTCCTCCAGCTGTACTGTACAAGGCACTATGACAATACTCTTGCTCCTCTAGCTGTACTGTACAAGGCACTATGACATTACTCTTGCTCCTCCAGCTGTACTGTACAAGGCACTATGACAATACTCTTGCTCTTCCAGCTGTACTGTACAAGGCACTATGACAATACTCTTGCTCCTCCAGCTGTACTGTACAAGACACTATGACAATACTCTTGCTCCTCCAGCTGTACTGTACAAGGCACTATGACAATACTCTAGCTCCTCCAGCTGTACTGTACAAGGCACTATGACAATACTCTTGCTCCTCTAGCTGTACAGTACAAGATGACAATACTCTTGCTCCTCCAGCTGAACTGTACAAGGCACTATGACAATACTCTTGCTCCTCTAGCTGTACTGTACAAGGCACTATGACATTACTCTTGCTCCTCCAGCTGTACAAGGCACTATGACAATACTCTTGCTCTTCCAGCTGTACTGTACAAGGCACTATGAAAATACTCTTGCTCCTCCAGCTGTACTGTACAAGGCACTATGACAAAAGGCACTATGACAATACTCTTGCTCCTCCAGCTGTACTGTACGAGGCACTATGACATTACTCTTGCTCCTCCAGCTGTACTGTACAAGGCACTATGACAATACTCTTGCTCCTCTAGCTGTACTGTACAAGGCACTATGACAATACTCTTGCTCCTCGAGCTGTACTGTACAAGGCACTATGACAATACTCTTAGTCCTCCAGCTGTACTGTATAAGGCACTGTGACAATACTCTTGCTCCTCTAGCTGTACTGTACAAGGCACTATGACAATACTCTTGCTCTTCCAGCTGTACTGTACAAGGCACTATGACAATATTCTTGCTCCCCCAGCCGGTACTGTACAAGTCAATATGACAATACTCTTGCTCCTCTAGCTGTACTGTACAATGTACTATGACAATACTCTTGCTCCTCTAGCTGTACTGTAGAAGTCACTATGACAATACTCTTGCTCCTCTAGCTGTACTGTACAAGTCACTATGACAATACTCTTGCTCCTCTAGCTGTACTGTACAAGTCACTATGACAATACTCTTGCTCCTCTAGCTGTACTGTACAAGGCAGTATGACAATACTCTTGCTCCTCTAGCTGTACTGTACAAGGCAGTATGACAATACTTTTGCTCCTCCAGCTGTACTGTACAAGTCACTATGACAATACTCTTGCTCCTCCAGCTGTACTGTACATGTCACTTTGTCAATACTATTGCTCCTCCAGCTGTACTGGTCAAGGCACTATGACAATACTCTTGCTCCTCCAGCTGTTCTGTACAAGTCACTTTGTCAATACTCTTGCTCCTCCAGCAGTACTGTACAAGGCACAATGACAATACTTTTGCTCCTCCAGCTGTACTGTATAATGCAAAATGACTGTAATTTTGCAGTTATTAGTAAGAAATGTTGAGTATAGCGAGACATAAATATGAGAGGATTAAGCCAATAAGTCAAAATAACGGATGACGTTCATGGTAAAAGCGATAACGCCTCTAGCAAACTTCATCAAATCAATACTATATAAAATATGAGCCAAGTATAATAAGTTAAAGCATGTAAGGAACTGTGTGAGGTCTTAACTTAACCAAATCTATGTTGGAAAAGAAAACACATTGTTTTGCAGATATGTTATTAGTTTTGCACGACCCTTTCTCTTCATGATTAACCTTCTTTATTATTATTATTATTTATTATTATTATTATTATTATTATTATTATTATTATTATTATTATTATTATTATTATTATTATTATTATTAATGAAATATTGGTGATCGACATTTGTTTCCCGTATTTCAGGCGTGTTTTGCAAGCACCTATATGTATGACGCAACATCACTAAGACATTATAGTACTTGTAGAAGCAAAAAGGTAATTGGTGTTACATTAAAAGTTTGAAACCATATGAAAGTCTCATCTTTCAATTAATATAAATATCCATTATATATAGTATTCGTAAGCGCAAATTTCATTTTTGATTTGACAGCGAAGCTAAGCGTATTTAGTAACATATTTGACATTTTTATCATTTATAATGATGCAATTGAAATTTTTTTTTTTTAATTATCTAGATATGTGACAATCTGATGAAATACATATTTGAAACGTACCAAACAAAAGCTCTTGGAAAGAGAAACGCAGGAACTATTTGCGCAGTATGTTGTGGGGACGAACAATGTAATAAGTACGCGTGTGAAACTACAAAAAGTACGTGTTAGCTATTTACTTTAGTAGAGAATACGACAAAACAGGAAATAGACACGAAAAAAAGAAAATATATCAATACATAACAGACAAAACAAAGACTAGATAGTTGAGATTTGAAACTGGGACAGGACACTCATAAGCTTTCATAGCTAATTTCTACCCAATCCCAAATGTATTGTGTAAATACTGTACATCATAATGTAAATATATCGAATAAAATATGTTTAAACCAAGACAGTTGAGAATATGACAAGACAAAACAAAGACAAGCTATAGATAGAAGAGCATATGACAAAACAAGACAAAAACTAGATAGAAGAGAATATGACAAAACAAGACAAAGACTAGATAGAAGAGAATATGACAAAACAAGACAAATACTAGATAGTTGAGAATATAACAAGGCAAGACAAAGACTAGATACAAGAGAATATGACAAAACAAGACAAATCTGAATAGAAGAGAATATGACAAAACAAGACAAAGACTAGATAGAAAAGATTATGACAAAACAAGACAAAGACTAGATAATAGAGAATATGACAAAACAAGACAAAAAACTAGATAGTTGAGAATATGACATTACAAGAAAAAGACTTGATAGAAGAGAATATGACAAAACAAGACAAATACTAGATAGTTAAGAATATGACAAATCAAGACAAAGACTAGATAGAAGAGAATCTGACAAGATAAGAAATAAGCAGAAGAGAATATGACAAGACAAGCCAAAGACTAGATAGAAGAGAATATGACAAAACAAGAAAAAGACAATGGAGAATATGCAAAGGCGCGGCAAAGCCTAGACAGAAGAGAATATGCCAAAAAATGACAAAGAATAGATAAAAGAGAGTATGACAAGACGAGACAAAAACTAGATATGAGAAAATAGGGCAAGGCTAGGTTAACTTGTAAGTGTTGGAAGTTTTAGTGTAAGTAATTGCCATTTACCTACATAAAAGAAAAATACATATATTATAATGTCAGATAAATATCTGTTGTTAATCTGATTAACAGAAAAACTAACTAATTAATAAAATAACAACTGTGATAATATAGCGTTTAACAGTTTGTAGAAACACTTCGTCATAATTTCAAATACATAATATTACATCATAGCATGACTTTGTTAACCGTATATATATGTATATTTGTGTTCCAGAACGTATACGCTATCTCAACTTGCAAGAACGTTTTAATCATACTACATTAACAGAGATTCCTTGGTCTGCAACATAATCACCGTCATGTTCATTTGTATTGTTACTCTGTATTTCCAGAAATAAATGATTATTTACTTATTTTAGTCTTACTCTGAATAAGATATATTATGAAAAGTTATACTGATTATGTTACTTGTTTTTATTTGTTTTGGATTTTTGTGAGTTTTTTTTTGTAACGTAAATTTTTCTGTGTTGGTTCAGGGCAGCTTCAGGAGCTCGGGCACTGGATCAAAAAGGAATTTGCAGAAGCGTGCTCGGTTTATATACCCAGTCTACTAAGCATGCGCGAACGAGATTGCACGCGCCGTCTAGTAGATATGCATTTGTTCATATAGCAATGGGGAAAATTTTAGACTTCATTTTGTGCATTTTTTTCTTGGTTTAACAAAATCATATTATTGTTTTCAAATTTTCTAATAAAAATTGCTTTTCTGATGTACAACATGACACAGAGCTTTAAGGGGTTCTAAAATAAACGTTTAACTGAAGTGATAACGCCATGTTTGAATATCATATTCTTTTTATTATTAGGATTAGAAATAGTCTCCGTCCGTCCGTCCGACCTTCCGTCCTTCCGTCCGTTCTTCCGTCCGACATTTTTGTCCGGAGCATATCTAAAAAAAATATTTGAGGTATCAACTTGAAACTTCATAGGTGGATAGACCTCATTTAGGAGGCGTGCAGTGCACAAGAATGATAACTCTACCCTGCATAATTTTTGAGTTATTGCCCTTTGTTATTTTTTAAAATTCATTTTTGTCCAGAGCATAACTCAAAAAGCCTTTGAGATATCAACATGAAACTTCATAGGTGCATAGATCTCACTCAGGAGTCAGGAGGTGTGCAGTGCACAAAAATGATAACTCTACCTTTCATAATTTTTGACTTATTGCCCTTTATTATTTTTCATACTTAATTTTTCACCTGAGTGGAGCATAACTCAAAAAGTGTTTGAGATGTCAACATGAAATGTCATGAGTGGATAGATCTTATTGAGGAGGAATGCTGTGCCCAAGAATGATAACTCTTCCTTACATAATTTTTTGAGTTATTGCCCTTTGTTCTTTTTCATACTATTTTGTCCGGAGCTTATCTCAAAAAGTATTTGAGGTATCAACTTGAAACTTCATAGGTGGATCGATTTTACTGAGGAGGGGTGCAGCACACAAGAATGATAACCTACCCTGCATTATTTTTTAGTTATTGCCCTTTGTTATTTTCAGCCATCAGTATTCACATATGTTTCAAATCTGTAATCACTTCAGCCATCAGTTTTCATTACCAAAAGACTTCTTAAAATTAAATTATTCTGCTCTACTACATATACATTCTTCCAATGAGCAAACACATTCGGCGGGGGATGGCCATGTTCACATGGCTCTTGTAATTATCTAATTTTTTTATTTACCTAATAAATAACGTGCCAATGAGCCAGTCTATAGTCGATCGTTCTAGTCTAATGACGGGAACCAAATTCGGGCAGCGTGGGAACAAGAGGTATCATTAAAATACGCAACGGATATTCTATTAGCGATACGGACACAGTTGCAAAACAGGCAAAACGTGTTCGACATGTAATTCATGAAAATAATTAACATTTAAGTTATAAAACAGATTAACTGATTGGAAAAAAGTACGTTTATTTTAAAATGTATCACAAATAATTGCAATAGGTTATTTTGAAGGATTCTGTGACTGACGATTGTTCTCTTTCACCTTGATTTTTACTACATTTAGTGGTCCTAGTTTACCTAGATTCTAGGCGAATATGCAATCTTTAGTTTAATCAAGTAGTTTAATCTTTTACAAATAAGAAAACAAAACGTAACTAACAATTAGAATTATATATACATCAATGTATTCATATTTATTAATAACCGCCTCCGTGGTCGAGGGGTTAGAGTCCCATGACTTCTAAATGCCAGTTAAACCTCTCCTGGGCGTGGGTTCGAATCTCCGGGAGATGCTTTTGGTAGTTTAGCGCGGAGGAAGGTAGTCTAGTACTGGTGTAACTCTCCAGGAACGATGGTTAGGAAACTATACGACCTATATGACTGAAATGCTGTTGGAAAAGGCGTAAAATGAAACAAACAAACAAAAAACAAAAAATCATAACTATTTTTTGATATTACAGACACATTTTGCTATTTGTAAAATAAGAGACAGTTCGTCCTCAAATTCATTCGAACGAACATTATGCAATTCGCACCATTATTTAAATGGACATATTCTCGCAACATATTGTCTTGAATTCATTTTAAGTTTACCAATCATTTTTACAAATCATTTCATTTTTTCTTGTTATCCAATTTATTTTGCCTCGACCAGACGTTTCAATCATTGTCGCAACAGACAAACATTTCAGACTTTCAGACAAATAACAAGAACATGGAGAAAAATTGATTAGTACTTGCATGGGATATTCAACTGTAATAGAGAACGATTTTTAATTCAAATTTTGTACATTACCTGTGACTGTTCAAATCATTTTGGCGGCGTCTTTGATATACAGCATCAACATTTAACTTGTGTAAGTTTGTTTTCATGCTGCAAACATTATGTCTATAAAAAATTGCACCACTACCAATCAGTTAACTGTTAGGGCCTACAGCACTTTTAGATGGTGATGATAATTTTTCTTCTTCTGGCACTTTTTATCATCTATGTAACAAATCTTCTAAGAAACGAACATTATGTTATGAAAACAACATAATTTCTAATTGTTATATAAAATATTTATTCAGACTCTTACTACCTATACTACGGTTTGAAGATGACAATTGTATATTTTTTAAAGTTATATCAATGGTAGTGGTCTTAATTAAATAAGAAATGACATTAAAATATATAGAATATAAATTTATCAATCCGTTTTTCTTTTCAAGTTTCTTTATTTGTTTATTTATTTTCTTTCTTTCTTTCTTTCTTTCATTCTTTCTTTCTTTCTTTCTTTCTTTCTTTCTTTCTTTCTTTCTTTCTTTCTTTCTTTCTTTCTTTCTTTCTTTCTTTCTTTCTTTCTTATGTAAACAGTATTTGACAGTAACTGTTATCACATGGTATCTGCTATGCCTCTCAGTATTAATTATAACCCCTCGGGAGGTCGGCATGTTTTACAGCGACCCTTTATCTGTATTATCGATTATTGGAGTACTCCCATCACCACGTGGTCCCTTCAGCGCGTCCCAGGAAGTTAAGAAAGTAGGTTATTTCTTTGTTTGACTGTGTAACTCATCAACCAATCACAGAGGAAAGTGTTTATTTAAAGGATTATAGAAAGAGCGAACATTGAAAGGTAGTGCCTTTTATCATTATTTGAACACTTATTATAGATTTTTTTTAAATACAAACTTTCTACATGTATAAAGTTGTATGCAGTTACAAATAAGGTTTATATACATTTGAACACATATCAGCCGTGACATAGATTGAACATATGTTTGCCAGTGTGTTTACGAACGGGGAAGTCAGTTAAAAAAATCGTTCGTTCAATTTTTATTTTTTATCATTCGGTATTTCTCTTGCATCTCGAAGCCGAAAAGTTGCGATTTTTCCGTTATCGGAATACTTTTTAAAAATGGCAGCGCCTTACTAGAAATGACACTGAAATTTTCACTGATAGGTATAGGAAGCTAGATATATATATTTATTATATACTTATAAATGAAATATTGAGAAATATTGATGAAATAAAATGCATATTTTCATTTTCCATATTTTCACTGTAAAAATTTATTTTTCACTGCAGTGAAACATATTTTCCGTATTTTCACTGGTGTCTCGCCGGACTACTTTCTTTTAAATTCAGCCAGTACACAAAATTTAAAGGAAAGTCTTTAAAATTTTATCGCAAAAAAAGGAGAAAAATGTATATAATAAACAGAAAATTCAAGTTTTTTTCTATAAATACATGATTTATTTTCATCTTGTGGCATGAAAATTACCATATTTCATTCGTGGCTACCGCCACTCGTGAAATATTTATTTTCATACCACTCGATGAAAATAAATCATGTATTTATAGAAAAACTTGAATATCCTCTATATATTTTAATTATTTATTTATTTATTTGATTTCCAATTAAATATCCACGTATAGTCTATAGACCACGGAGTATAGACGGACTAGCTAAGGTCCGGCGTGATACTGTATATTTTCGAAATTCTTTTTATAAAATAATTATATTTTCTTAATTGTATAAGGAACAATTTGTTAAATGGTTGAAATGCAGAAATATGGAAATTATCAATTAGCCAGACCGCTGACATGTCTATTGTAAATTATGCGTCTGACACATTTGCGATTAGTTTAAGGCACGTCACATATATGTGACAACATGATTGTTATCTAAGATATTTATTTGAAGTTTACTTATCTGATTACCTATTTGACTGAAAAAAAGGAACTTACAGCCGCTGGCTTTTGGCATCTGGCGTGTTAACTAGTAACTATTGAACGCACTTTAATACTGATTTATAAGATTTATAATTTAATGATAATATGTATAGTTTAAAGTGATGGTGCCGCAGTTTTCTGCGGTGCATTTTAATGTACACATATAGATGTCATTTCAATCGGTGGCACTTGTTGTTATAATAAAAATAGAAAAAAAATATGATAACAGAAAAATAGATTAATTATAATCTAAGGGATAAACATTTGGGCATAAATTATTATTATACGTAAATGGAATATCATACAACATATAAATTACGGCTTAGAAATGTTATTGAGACGAAATTCTTCCCACAACACCTCAACGAACCCTCTGCACCACACCGGGTTCGCTTCTAGGTCGACTTACCCATATTAATATATTATAAACTAATTAGAGATAGCAACAATTTAATTTAACTTTTTTTTAAAGTTTTATTCTATGAAAAAAAAGAATTTATAAATTGACAAGATTTTGAACTTATTTTGATTGAAATACATAGTTACGGTAACAATTAATGCTTTTATATCTATATCATCAGCAGTCTGAAATAACTTTTCAAGGTCAGTCTGACATTTCAGCATATATCAATGAATTATTTATTATTTGATTACAATAGACTCTTAATAATTCATAAATATTCTAATTGATTCTACATGTCAGCAAAGTGCGCCGTTTCCGTTTAACACCAATTTTTGCCTAACTACACAGAGCCCTATTTATCGGATCATTTTACAACCCTGCACGTGATCGTTATATTTAGCTCTTAATGGATTGCAAATGTAAGTTTTGTTACAGAAGTTTTGTAATAACATACTTAGTTCTCGGGACCGATATGAGTAATTTGTTTTCTGCATGCATACATTCAGAGGGCTTCAGCTATTTTCATTTTCTTTTGCTTGATAAAAGACAATATTCGTCACTATGCTTAAATCATAGTTACACTGTGATTATATCATAGTTACACTGTGATTAAATCATAGTTACACTGTGATTATATCATAGTGACACTGTGATTATATCATAGTTACACTGTGATTAAATCATAGTGACACTGTGATTATATCATAGTGACACTGTGATTATATCATAGTTACACTGTGATTAAATCATAGTGACACTGTGATTAAATCATAGTTACACTGTGATTAAATCATAGTGACACTGTGATTATATCATAGTGACACTGTGATTAAATCATAGTTACACTGTGATTAAATCATAGTGACAATGTGATTATATCATAGTTACACTGTGATTAAATCATAGTTACACTGTGATTATATCATAGTGACACTGTGATTATATCATAGTTTACACTGTGATTAAATCATAGTGACACTGTGATTATATCATAGTGACACTGTGATTAAATCATAGTGACACTGTGATTATATCATAGTGACACTGTGATTATATCATAGTTACACTGTGATTATATCATAGTGACACTGTGATTATAGCATAGTTACACTGTGATTATATCATAGTTACACTGTGATTAAATCATAGTGACACTGTGATTATATCATAGTTACACTGTGATTATATCATAGTTACACTGTGATTATATCATAGTTACACTGTGATTATATCATAGTCACACTGTGATTATATCATAGTTACACTGTGATTATATCATAGTTACACTGTGATTATATCATAGTCACACTGTGATTATATCAAAGTTACACTGTGATTATATCATAGTTACACTGTGATTATATCATAGTGACACTGTGATTATATCATAGTGACACTGTGATTATATCATAGTTACACTGTGATTATATCATAGTGACACTGTGATTATAGCATAGTTACACTGTGATTATATCATAGTTACACTGTGATTATAGCATAGTGACACTGTGATTATATCATAGTGACACTGTGATTAAATCATAGTGACACTGTGATTATATCATAGTGACACTGTGATTATATTCATAGTTACACTGTGATTATATCATAGTTACACTGTGATTATATCATAGTGACACTGTGATTAAATCATAGTTACACTGTGATTATATCATAGTGACACTGTGATTATATCATAGTGACACTGTGATTATATCATAGTTACACTGTGATTATATCATAGTTACACTGTGATTATAGCATAGTTACACTGTGATTATATCATAGTTACACTGTGATTAAATCATAGTGACACTGTGATTATATCATAGTGACACCGTGATTATATCATAGTTACACTGTGATTATAACCTTGGACAGAAAGATGCATTATTAGTCCCAGCAATAACATAAAACTGTGATTGTATCATTAATATACATGTATATATAGTCACACTCTTTGGTAAACTTACAATGTAAAAGTTACAGCGGGCGGTCCACGCATGAAATGTTTTCAGTTATGTATACTTTATGTATACTTCACCAGTGTGTAAATCTAAAATTGCTACATTTACTGTTTACATGTTTTGGATAAAACACCAGGGAAATATGCAGGTTAGAATGATGCATGTTATTTTAACGTATATATTATTTGTGTATATATATATATCATAGTTGAGTTATATATATTTTACCTTTATTTTATGTCGACGGATTCTAAGTTAAATGTTGCTCTATTCAAAAATACCCACATCTTGCGATTTTAAGCACTTGCTACTTCCGACAGACGACATAGTGTATTTATCAAAACGCTGTCTGCTGGTGTGGTGTCTGATTACAGAAGGCAAAGCACTATTTTATAATTATTTCTAAATTCAGCTTTACTTTTACTTATGATCGAGGGATTGCCTTGATCTGTTAATGAGTTAAGGCATCAAAATTGTAGCCTTCGTTTATCCCTGCGTAATAGTAAGATGCGACTAAATGGTATCGAATGCCTGGTGTTGATTTAAAACAAACACCCGGACGTCGGCATCTGTGTTACACTTTCGGTTAAGTTTTTCTTCCACCCTATTTTTTCTGTACCCTTTGCGATATTACTTTGAAACTCGGAATTGATAATGCCCCCTTTCCGACTAAAATTTTTTTGTTAAGGTACAGCCATTTCTTTCTTGTACCTTTTCAAGACTGAGATACTGACTTCAAAAATGTTAAAACTTGTTTGTGACAATCATTCCCACAGATAGGTCAGCTGACATAAATTGACATGATTATGTCCATTGTTCTAATAAGTTTTTCGGTTTAGACATTTTACTATCCTTATTTTTTATACATTTTGAGGCATTGATTTCATTTTAGAGAGACAGTCTATCACCCCCTCAAGGCAAGGCGACAGAACTTTGTCAATAATTTTAACAAGTATACTCCCTTTCAACTTAGAATTTACCGTACAATTATTTGTATCTCCTGCATGTGTTATTTCACCTTTAATTTCCTTTTTGGACTAAGAATTCTGGTTAAATTGTTAAAAAATGTATTTTCTTATTCCGCTATCAAGTACTTAATTATAATAGTCGAGTTTGTTGTCTAACGGAAATGTAGGCTTCGGCCGGCCTCTGAAATAATCTGTAACAATATATATATACACTCGTAAAGCACAAATTCCGTTTTGTATTTATATAAAAGTACAAAATACTGTTTCAGGGAAATGTCTGAAAACGTTGAAGTAGCAACTCCACGTGCAGAAGGAGAGCGGGAAGAAGAAGTTACAGATAAAGGCAAGTTACTCAAGATGGAAGAGGTGGTTGTCTCTCAACCAAGTACTTCACAAACTGGTGACCTTCTTTGTTATGTATTATTTTTTCGATAAAAAATGTTATTCTTTAGCAATGATATATTTGTTATTATCATCTATTATCATCTAAATGACAGTCCATTCGCTAATTAAGGCACAATAATTAGCTTCCGATATCACTTGTAAAAAATGCTCCACAACAAATCTTAATCTCGACTTATGTAAAAACTTATGCACATACGTCGGGGAAAGCTGTAAGAAGGGTTTTGTTCTAATTACAGGTCCAGAAAAAGCACCCGTGACACAGGAAACCAGCGATGGGGAATCTGAGGCGTGCGCAGCTTGTCTAAAACTGTTCTCTATATTAGTGATTGTTCTCTTCTTCCCATTCTCCCTCGTGTGTTCTTTAAAGGTAAAATTATTTATCACTTTCCCATGATGAAGATCATGAATTCGGTTATATACTTGTTATTTTGATCACCGTGTACCTTAGCAGCTTTATTAAAGGCAATACAGTGCTCATTCTCTAAATACTTGGGTAAATTGGGCACATACCGTCACTTTTCTTACGTTTTAAAGATTTATTGTAAGAAAAAAGTTTGATATATGGGTAATTAAACATGTGCAATTGATTTTAATGTGAATAATTTTAATGAACGATTTGACTAGATTTTAGATAAAAATTAAAAACGATTAGACCAAATATTAGATAACCATTTGGTTAATAAGACTAAATATAAGATAAAAATTGGGTGCTAAAACATGGAACAAATATGGAACACTAGAATTATATTGTTTTTTGTAAGACTTAGTCAGTTTACAACTTTATTAAAATAACAAACAAATTATGATTATTTAAAAAAAATCCAACCATCTCATAAGAAGAATACAAAATTTGCTTGATTATCTTCATTGTCACATGTTGTGGGCGTTATGACACCTGACTGTTTAACAAAATCTTTAAATGCATTTAAATGTTTCACATAATGGCTATTTATCAAACTTAAAAGCTTTCTGTATAGCACTGAATGATAAAATTATTATATGATCGTAGATATATTTATTTATACAGTAGCATTTATAATTTTCAGATGGTGCAGGAGTATGAACGTGCTGTCATTTTTCGTTTGGGACGAATTATTGATGGAGGTGCAAAGGGACCAGGTATGGTTTAAAATCCTTAACTTGTGGAATGTGAGCAGTGGACGTGCCAGTTTGATTTAAATAGTATTTATTTCATATAGTTCAAACATATACAATTATGTACAACAACATGATATAATACAGGAGTGAAAATGATTGTTCTGTTTTAAATGAGGAACAGTCCATGAAAAGTTTGTGGGGTTTCAATATCACAGTACATAAAGATGTCTTTCACATATCAGTATTACCTCTCCTAGCTGCCATTTTGGGGGTCATTCTCTATAATTATGTTATATGCTTAAGATAAGATAAAAAAAAAAGCTCATAATTCTATCACCTTGATTAAAATTGATAACATTACAAAAAATATCTTTTACATATTGATGTTGTGACAATATTTTGCTGCATATGTAAAAAAAAAAAACTGACAGTTAAGGAAAATCAGCTGTTAATTACTATTGATTTTTTCATATTTTATCAATTGTATTATATAGAATATTGACCCTCAAAATGACTACCACTTTTGCCAAGGGAGGTAATTCTAACTGTACTGGGCTATCAACAGTATAGAGCCTGTTCAGACTGCACGGATGTACCATAGTCTGGCCTGGCTCTATACTAATGACGGGGGCTGATCACTTTCAGTTCTAACAGGTTTTTGGTTGACATAATTGTTCAAGATCTTTAAATAACCTTATGATAAGATTATTACTATTAAAATTGCTGTTTTAACCTTGTCTGTGCTGTGATTTTTTTCTTTATAGAAAATTATACATGTTATTCTTGTATAATGTACTGACAGAGAAAGGAAATATCCAATATTTCCCGCAGAATTATCGGACACTATAATTTTAAATATTTATAAATACATGTAATCAAAATGGACTTTTCTTATTACCATGAACATATTTCTTCAAAATATAAGTTGTTTAGACAAAACATTAATAGTTTTTAAACCCCTTTAAGTTCTGTATTTTATCATGAAATTTAAATGCTCACAGTTCTGATGTGTGAGAAATTTTAAAACTGTAAATATTACGTAAATGTCTAGTATATTGGTTGTCGAGCACCCCGGTCTATCCATTCTTTCATATAATGGACTGTTGATGATGTTATATAATTATGAATTACTATCAATTTTATATTATGTTTTTGTAGGTCTATTTTTCGTGTACCCGTGCATGGATTCAGTTACAACAGTTGACATGAGAACCAAAGCTTTTGACATTAACCCTCAAGAGGTATGATTGTTGTTTTTGTTTTTGTTTTCAAGAATGTGTTGAGTTAATGCTTCAAGATAACTGGATGAGTAGTATGTACAATGGTTTCATTGAAATTTTCTAAATATAGAACAAAGCAGATTATGTGTTCCTTGTAAAATAACAATAATTAGTCCGCATTGTCAGTCTGAACGGAAACACTTTGCCAATTAAAGAATTCTCATTTGTTGACATATTAATGAATAATCCAAACAAAAGGAACTGGTCAAAAAAAAGAGAAAAATATGCCTCTTTATGTAAAGTTAAATTTAAAATACAAACTTACCTGTTTAGGTAATACAAAATGTATTTCAGTTCGATTGTGTAGAAAGCTATAAGCATATATACACACCCTCGAATCAATTCTTGGCACCAATCAGTAATAAACAATGAGCTTAAATTTGCTTGCTCAAGGAAATAACGATCCCCCAACCATCCTGCCGGGGTTTGAACCTAGCTATAAGCAATCCTTATACTCCTCTCTTACCATACTTTCTGCATTACTTGTATAATTTTTAAATTTTTGAAGGTCTAACATTAATGAAGGGAAGGAAATTTTAATTATTATAACACTATATTCATATATTTCTAGAAAACCATTCTGTAAAAAAAATCTCGATATAATTTATATTTTATCAAATAATTTTATTTTTTGATTGTTTAGATTTTGACAAAGGATCAGTTGACCGTGATGGTAGACGCAGTGATGTATTTGAAAATTATTGACCCTGTTTTGTCCGTGACGAAGGTAGAAAACGTGAACGGTTCATGTAAATTATTGGGAGCTACAACGTTGAGGAACACACTGGGGACCTACAACATGACAGATATCTTGTCCAAACGTGACGAGATTAACACTCAGATGAAGGTACAGTAACGTCTTTGTCCTAGAGATTAACACTCAGATGGTGGTACAGTAACACCTTTGTCCTAGGGATTAACACTCAGATGAAGGTACAGTATCGTCTTTGTCCTAGAGATTAACACTCAGATGGTGGTACAGTAACACCTTTGTCCTAGAGATTAACACTCAGATGAAGGTACAGTAACGTCTTTGTCCTAGAGATTAACACTCAGATGGTGGTACAGAAACACCTTTGTCCTAGAGATTAACACTCAGATGAAGGTACAGTAACGTCTTTGTCCTAGAGATTAACACTCAGATGAAGGTACAGTAACGTCTTTGTCCTAGAGATTAACACTCAGATGAAGGTACAGTAACGTCTTTGTCCTAGAGATTAACGCTCAGATGGTGGTACAGTAACATCTTTGTCCTAGAGATTAACACTCAGATGAAGGTACAGTAAAACCTTTGTCCTAGAGATTAACACTCAGATAAAGGTACAGTAACGTCTTTGTCCTAGAGATTAACATTTAGATGAAGGTACAGTAACGTCTTTGTCCTAGAGATTAACACTCAGATGAAGGTACGGTAACGCCTTTGTCCTAGAGATTAACACTCAGATGAATGTACAGTAACGTCTTTGTCCTAGAGACTAACACTCAGATGAAGGTACAGTAATACCTTTGTCCTAGAGATTAACAGTAAGATGAAAGTACATTTACGTCTTTGTCCTAAAGATTAACCCTCAGATGAATGTACAGTTACGTCTTTGTCCTAGAGATTAACACTCAGATAAAGGTACAGTAACGTCTTTGTCTTAGAGATTTACACTCAGATGAATGTACAGTTACGTCTTTATCCTAGAGATTAACACTCAGATGAAGGTACAGTAACGTCTTTGTCTTAGAGATTAACACTCAGATGAATGTGCAGTAACGTCTTTATCCTAGAGATTAACCCTCAGATGAAGGAACGGTAACGTCTTTGTCCTACAGATTAACACTCAGATGAAGGTTCAGTAACGTCTTTGTCCTAGAGATGAACCCCCAGATGAAGGTACAGTAACGCCTTTGTCTTAGAGATTAACACTCAGATGAATGTACAGTTACGTCTTTATCCTAGAGATTAACCCTCAGATGAATTACAGTAACGTCTTTGTCCTAGAGATAGCACTCAGATGTAGGTACAGTACACCATTGTCCTAGAGATTAACACTCAGATGAAGGTACAGTAATACCTTTGTCCTAGAGATTAACACTCAGATGAATGTGCATTTACGTCTTTGTCCTAGAGATGAACCCCAGATGAATGTACAGTTACGTCTTTGTCTTAGAGATTAACACTCAGCTGAAGGTACAGTAACACCTTTGTCCTAGAGATTAACACTCAGATGAAGGTACAGTAATACCTTTGTCCTAGAGATTAACAGTCAGATGAATGTACACTTACGTCTTTGTCCTAGAGATGAACCCAAAGATGAATGTACAGTTACGTATTTGTCCTAGAGATTAACACTCAGATGAAGGAACAGTAATACCTTTGTCCTAGAGATTAACAGTCAGGTGAATGTACAGTTACGTCTTTGTCCTAGAGATGAACCCCCAGATGAAGGTACAGTAACGTCTTTGTCTTAGAGATTAACACTCAGATGAATGTACAGTAACGTCTTTGTCTTAGAGATTAACACTCAGATGCAGGTACAGTAACGTCTTTGTCTTAGAGATTTACACTCAGATGAATGTACAGTTACGTCTTTATCCTAGAGATTAACCCTCAGATGAATTACATTAACGTCTTTGTCCTAGAGATAGCACTCAGATGAAGGTACAGTACACCATTGTCTTAGAGATGAACACTCTGATGAAGGTACAGTAACGTCTTTGTCCTAGAGATTAACACTCAGATGAAGGTACAGTAACGTCTTTGTCCCAGATGAAGGTACAGTAACACCTTTGTCCTAGAAAATGACAATATAATCAATAGATTTTATAATTATTGACTCATGTATTTCAAAGTTGTACTGATGTATCCATGTATACATATGTACGTCGGAATATAAAAAAAATGTTCTTACTATGATAAATTAGATTTATATGATTCATCAAATAGTTATAACGTTATGTTAGGTTGTTATTTTTGCAAATGGATTTATGCCATTCGGCCGTAGTGTTTATGACGTCATCATATTTTATTTTGCAGGTTCTTCTTGACGAGGCAACGGATCCCTGGGGCGTTGATGTAGAACGTGTGGAAATGTAAGTAGTAAGATTTAAACTTCTGCTGCTGCTGCTGCTGCTGCTGCTGCTGCTGCTGCTGATGATGATGATGATGATGATGATGATGATGATGATGCTGATGATGCTGATGATGCTGCTGATGATGATGATGATGATGACGATTACTAATGATGATGATGAGAATACAATGAAATAAAGATAATAGTTGTCAGGGTTATGGGTTAACAGATTAAATGATGATACTATTGATAATTTATACAGATAATGAATTGATTATTTATACAGATAATGCCAAAATATAAGGGATAATCAGTGATATATTTTAAGGTTCACATTTTATTTTAGCACCGATGTACGTCTACCAGAACAGATGCAGAGGGCAATGGCGGCTGAGGCCGAGGCAACAAGGGAGGCTCGAGCTAAGGTAAAGAGTTTTACATAAAGTGATCGATTATGAATTAAACAACATCACATTAAAAAAAATAAACAAAATGTGTACATTGTATATTGTGATTACATTGCATTGTTTGAGAGAGTCTAAAACTGTCAAACATGTATTTTGGCAAAAATCAGTATAAACTGGAATAAAACCTAATCTTATTAAGTGACATTATGCCCATCCAAGGATATATAGTGAGGGAACATGTGAATGTATAAATAAGTTTTCATTTAGCAATAATTCATTCTGATTTAATAATTGACTTCGCAAAAACAATAAATAACGCACGGATCCTAAGGAATTTTCTGTAAATATCCATTAGAATTTTACATGTCCTAAACATTTTCAAATAACACCTACCGGTCAAACACCATTTTAACAATCAATCTTTTGATATATAAAGTCAATTTAGCTCAACTTTACTATGAAAATATGAGCATAATGACTCTGTTATCACGCTTCATATTGATGAATAATTTATTAAAAACAAAAAAAAGGAGACATTTTGTTATAAAGATATCAAATATTTAAAAAAAAAATCATTAACGATGAAAACAAACAGAAAGAGAGAGGGTAAATTGACAGAACATGAAATGAAAACAAAACAGGTTGTTACACTTGTAAACACTTGTAATGTACAATATATACATTGCAACCTTGATATTATGTAGCTTAAATTAACCGGTTTCCTCTCTCAGGTTATTGCCGCTGAAGGTGAACAGAAAGCATCACGTGCTTTGAAAGAGGCAGCAGACGTCATGATCGAATCTCCCGCCGCGATGCAACTCCGTTACCTGCAGACGCTTAACACTGTTGCTGCTGAAAAAAATTCGACCATTATCTTCCCTCTACCGATTGAATTCTTGAAAACATTTACAGTGCAACCTCAGAATCAGAGTCAGTAGACTTTTGAAGACCTGTATATGACAATCTTTTATGTTTTAGTTGTGTATTAATGTAATATGTTGCAAATGCTTTAAAAATATGCAATAACGGGGCAATATTACCCTTTATACCCCATTTTATTATTTATATTAAAGAATAAACTTAATCATGTATATATACATGTTGTTCACTAATAATATCACTTAGACACAATTAAAGTCTTCATGTCCTGCGCTAGTTCTCTTATAATACATTATAAATATCTAGTCTTTTAAAGTATTTAACACTACTAATGGCCTATATTTTATTTTTATATTTTGAACAATATCTGTTTTCTTACAATTTTGAGCTATTGTTCATTTGACTTATAATATTCTGATACCAACATATAAACATTAATTTTGTTTTATCTTACTTTATTATGTATTTTACATGTGTAGCAAATAAGTTTTTTTTTAATGAAACATTTTTAAATGAACGTTTCACAATTTAGAGGCCGATAAGAGCAGAGATTAAATATCCACATGTATCATTTATAAATTGTGATAAATCTGAAATGACGTCATGTGAATGCCTTACACAAAGTGTCCTGCAAGTGTTCATGGAAATCACTTGTTCTATAACTTAGAATATATTTATATAGGCAATTGTGAATGTATGACACACATATATATATTTTGGTAGTATAATTTCAGCATTGTACAATTATCTATTAAACTGTTATAAACAGCATCTTACAAACACGAAAAAAGCTAACGGAAGAATTATAGAGAGACTGATCTGTGTTATTGTGACTATTTTAACATCATTTCTTATTGGCATTTCAACTTTTGTTTATAATGTTCGCAATTTTTATTGATATAAATTATTCCTTAACAAAGCCAAGATATTGTAACTAATATTTCACCACAGGATTTGATCACTTTATCTTTTGATACTATGCATTTACTTTTTAATTTTTTTCTTATTAAACTCTTAAACGTCTGATCTTACCAATCTGGGAAAAGTTGGACTTTTTTTCATAATGAGATTGTATGTTTAATTAACATAACAAAAGGTAAACTTGTTTATTCTGAATGCCACTTAATTCTGAATGCTAGTTTATTCTGAATGCCAGTTTATTCTGACTGCCATATTGTGTTCAAAATATCCCTGTCGCTGTTGCTGCATTTTCTATTTTATAACTTTATTGTATTTTCTTGCCTGTATGTACATTTATATTTATTTACATTGGTACAAAATATAAACATGTATTAGAATTAAATAATACTTTTAGATATGTCAGTTTGTTATTGCATTTTGATGAGAATTAGTAATATACCTATTTCTTAAATTATTCTCTTATTATCTTAAAATTGTCGATAATAAACACCCAATACTTGTACATGTATGAAAAATTACCATATCACCTACATATTTGACCTTGAAACTAGCCAGGACCGAAGTAATTTGATCGAATTTAATATTAAAATGTTGAAAACTATGCTGGCTGATTGACGCAATGTATTTTCGCTACGCAAGAAAAAGAAGAAAAGAAGAGAAAAACATGCGAACATAGGGTAAAGCCAAACTGTTAGTGTATTTTTACCCGGCGAAATAGCGAAAGGACGATAGAATACGCCAAAAAAGATACATAAAATGGGCCGTGTTTCCACCTCTTCGCCAAAATCGTATTTGTCATGGTAGTAGTCGTATCCGGTTTCGTATATTAAGTCGTTGTCGTTGTTCAACTCGTAGTAACAGTCTTATAAAAGTTGTAGTCATGAACGTAATCCTCGTCAAAACCGTAGCTGTTTTCAAAGTCGTAGATGTCTAAGCCGTAGTCAAAGTCGTGGTCGTAGCCGCACTTTTAGTCGTAAATGTAGTAGTGGTGAATGTCGTGAAATATTATAATCATTGAATGGCATACTTCAGCAAGGAATTAACTCTATCGTTACAAGTCAAAATTTTGTTTGAATAACCTCCCTTAGTCTGTGTATTTTAAAGATCAAATTAATAAAATTGCAAATGAAATATTTTGCATAATCTGCAGCTGACAACTCCCATCAACCAATTCAGACGCACAAACTGATAGAAAGAAAATGTTTTAGGGGTGCCCATGAGATATAAAAACTTAACTAGCTGCTTGAGAATTCTGGTTTTCTGCAGTGTCCGTGTGGTTAACGTTGTCTATCTGAGAATTTAGTTTACATTTCGAATAAAACGTGTTTACTTGAGTGTCTATGTAAATAAACTTTCAATCAATCTTGCAATAAAACAGATATCATACCTGGAGGATAATTCATATATACTATCTTAAACATGAAGCATGTGTTCGCCCGGGTTCAGTCTTAAGCACGTGATTATAGTGCAACAATATTCATGTAACATAAAGTGTTCCAAATTATGTATTTTATGATAATGGACAGAAAACTGCAATTGTACAACTTCGTAAGCATATTCCTAGGGAAGCAAGCCTGGTAAATATCGGAGCTATACCATTCGGAGATATACAATACTATATCAATACTTCCCAGCATGTCGCTGAAATTTGGTTACAACGTTGTCTAATTATATTATATATTTTGTAAATTCTGCATCGAATATCAAATTTACGAGAATATTATACCATGTACATTTGAATAAAGTTTCCAGGAAACGTAAAATTGATGAATTTATGTTTGAAATGTAATTGTGGCAGCAAATTTATTAGCATTGCAACTACTTCATCATTAAAGAATTACTTTTGCTTATATTTCCGTTGAGAAAGCAATCCAGATAAAAACATATACGATTCATGTTACGTCTAGAATGAAATAAGATCTTTTTATCAGAACTCCGAATTAGTAGAATGAAATTTAAGATATTAAATCCACGAGTGAAGGAGGTTTGTCATGTCGCCAAGGAGATATTGTTATTGATTTATTTACATCTAACGGCTCAAAATAGTGGAAACACTTAATCTTTAAGGACAATGTAAACTTACCATGTTTTTGTTTGGCAATTGTTTGTGTTTTTTTTTTTGAAAAATATGAAATTTCATTCTATACATTAAGGTTTAAGACTCTTCACATTTGTATATCTTATAACTGTTGCATACAAAAATAAAACCTGATCGCGATGGAGCGATTTACGACATCGTTACTTATCGTATACTTTCAAAGGAGTTACACATGAAACAGTATTATAGCTACACACATGTTATTTAGCTGGCGATATCGCGCGTCTGACCCTGATGTAGTAAAAGTTCGGGCGGGTCGTTCAGGCAACGCCCCTTAGCTTAATGTACCAACTACTTCAATATTGTTATATTGTTGTATTTACATGTTGGGCTTCCTGCTTGATCAGCTGATATTTTTGGGTTGACTTCGAACCATTGGCTCCTCACCCCTGTCTGTTCGAAGTCAACCCAGTGACTTCTATTTATATTATATAATCTCATTAAAATCATATCCTAACTGTCGCACCACTGCCCTTCGCTCGGAGCGAGAGAACGATGATCTGATTTTAATGAGATTGATTATATAGTAATATACAGACCAGATTGTATGCCATTGGATTATTTGTACAACCAATAGTTGTATTTTAAAAGACGCCGGGTCCTCATTATTCATGAGGCACCTGAGGTCTCCACTCACACCAAGTTTTAATATTTTGTTAAGTTTGAAAATTTGATAAGTCATGTTTAACGATGCACCAAAATCTAATCTATTCTCCATAAAAGGAAAAGCTTTATAACTGTTTACAGAATCGTGTTCGTACTGTTGTAGCAGTTTCTGTACAGTGATTTTTTGTGTATTGAATTTATCCTGACAACAAGGTCACGCGACAAAAATAGAATAATCATATGACTGTTAACTCAGGTGTGACGTATGTAAACTTAAACCACAGGGTATTGATCGGCTTGGATCCATTCCCCATTTTGCAATATTTTCAACTGTATTTCAAAATACTGGAAATACTTCACTAGCGGGTACTGCAGGAAATATATAATAAGGTAAGTAAAAGTTTTCATTGATTATCAACACTGGTGTCGAATCATTTCAAAATAGCTTTAGATCTCAGGGAGTTTTTGGATAAACATTGGTATTTTAATTGGTACACCCGGATTGAGAACTTGTGTATTATATCTCAGGTAAGTAATGTTGTATAATATGTAATTATTTATAGTTCATGTAATACTGCAGGACTCTTAAACTTCAATTCTTCGTAAATTTTATTCGTATTTTATTTTATAATTTTGTCAGTTTTATTGTGTAAGTATTGGATGAATTGATGCTGCTAAAAAACGAAACGTTTACCAGTGTAGAATTTGACCTAGTTAAAGCGAACCACTCGTTCATAGGTATACCAAGTTATCATGATTATATATCTTATAGAAACTATACAGATCTAAATACAAGAATGCTAGCTACTGGCACATCCTAATTTTACGATTGACGTGTACACACTTTATTTAATAGCAATAATTATAAATTTAAAAATACAAAAGTAATTTGAGGGCGTGGCATATCTGTTATGAGGAACGCTAACAGACGGGTTTTAATAGTTAATTTAGCACTATCAGTAGATCACGCTAATGTATACATTAATTTTATTTGTTGTCTGAAAATAAGAAGTTTAGTACAGTGACTGATTCATAGAAAGTCGTTGGCCATACAATAATGTTATATGGTTGTTTACATTTTGAAAGACGGATAGCCTTCATCTGCATTAAAATCAGAGGAAATACAAGACCTGTCTCACCTGATATCTGTTCGATACATCTTCTACTTGTTTTTCCCTGAAGGTCCACCACGCGTACTGTAAGCAATGTTTCATACATCAGTCTTGAATGATATGTGTTATTGTAATTATGCAATGAATTTTTCATGATAAAACTTTGATGCATTTTAGTTGTATCAGGCAATTAATTACCTGTAACAGATATTCCGAATATAGCCCCTTATCAAGTTTTACTTTAAGACAACTGTTCGGAGAAAAGCGTCAAAGAGCTTCCGCTACCCCTCTACAATTGCGAATAGTGCACCCCTTGGTGCTCTACTTGAAATGACCTCCTCCCCCTTCAGGATGTGACAGAGCTATTCGGTTATAGTCAACTCTGTTCACTTCGCTTGTAGCAATGATGTAATGTTGGCAGACTGTGAAATATTAGGAGGAGGCACAATGAAGAAGCTCCGGAAGTCTCCTTTCGTTTTGCTAGATATGCCGAGTACTCCAAGAGAGTGCCACACCCATACGCATTATTATTTAGACCTTCCCGCCATGTTTCATTACCATTGACTTAGTATCAGTAAAGTTCTGATATATCATAAAGCAGATCGACATTATACGCTGCCTTGACGCTACTCGACGCACCATTGCTGGCCAATATATTGATTTGTAGCACGTATATAGTTGGCCATTAACTCCAGTACTAAATAGCTGTTGTAGTTTCCGTGTTTATTCAATGATATTGATACATTGTGAACATAATTATCAATTCCACTTTTGGCTTGTGATGGAAATGTAAAATTCTAGGCTTAAAGGTTAGTTGATAGTTTTCTAAGTCTTCTGAAATGTGTTGCATTAAATGACTTCAGCGTTTACTTGAAAGGACGGTTTTGACATAATTCATACATAATTTTCGAATTGACGAACCTAAGTATGGTTCAACACGATCCTGACACGGTGATTCAGAAGTGAATTCTATAATAGCAGACGAAGGAGAGAGAAAACTGTGTAACACTTTGACACTCTACATATATAAATATAGGTCTAGTATTCAAAGACATTTTTGATGCAATTTGAATATTTCTTCATTATTTATGCGTTTTATTTTCGTTTTTATAAAGAAGGAAGTTTTTAACGCGTGATACACCATAATTATATATTATGTTATTTCTTGTTCGAAAATCGACTGTTTTGAAGCCAGTAATTTCTCGATATATATATACTCTTATCAAAGAAAACACATATAAAATGGTATAATTTTTTCTTCTGTAGGATTACATTGTAAGATAACATGAAGTGTAAATTCTTATCACTTTTATTCTAAGACTGCAACATTTAAGAAACGCATTAATATGATGGGTTAATGTATTCAAGATAATGTTCACGAATTTTAAATGTTGATGGTTTTACTTTTTGTGAATGTACTGTACAATAATAAGTGTATATATTAAACGCATGAGTAAAGATAAAGTAAAAGATTTATTTACAGAAATATAGTTACAGATCCATTTCAATATAACTTTATGAAAATATGCTAGAACATTACTGCATTCACTATCTATAGATACATTGGACATAGATCTAGTAAATCTATAAGATTTAGCTGTCATTATTCTATGAAACATCGAAAAAAGAGCCGACGACTTACTAGAAATAACTTATTGTGATAAATGAGTGTGACTGTTCAAAGAAAATTTCCTCATTCTATGCTTGAGTATCTCCTGTAGACATTTTCCGACGAACTTAGTTTCGATTTCTTGCGTTTGTTGATCCAAATTGTTAATAAAGTTCTTGTTTTAATATTTTATTCATCAGAGCAAATTTGATTGGACATTTTTAAATATAAATAAGTACATTGTACTGTTCATTATGTACAGTAGGTCTACGTACTCTACTGTAGTTTTAACTTTGAGTTTTATTTGTTTGTTGTTGTTGCTGTTGTTTTTTCCTTCAAGACAATGCGACATTGTTTATTTGATTATCATACTAGATTGGTTAATCAATAAAATACAGCTTTTTAATTTCGACTGAACAATCGGACAAAGCCTCATAATATTATGACGTAAACTATGACGTCATTTCACGCCATCTTTTGAAAGGGCATTAATTTTTTCAGGGCTTCTTTATATAATACGTGTACATGTAAGTACAGAGAGTCTAGATAAACTTATATGATGACAACGTGTCATTTTTTCTAGTTGAACATTTTTCATTAACCATTGAACCACGGATAGAAATATGAGGTTATTTTAATAGAATAGATACAGTACAGTAGTCAAGTAGACTACAGTAGAGAGGTCATTTTCTGTGACAACAAATACAATTCAAACGAAATTAGATCTACTAAGTATACATATAGAATTAATAAAGTAGATAAATCAAATGTGTCTATATATGTCTTTTCAGATTTAAACAGCCAAAATAGAGGTCCATCCACAGAAAATCGAAATGGACGGCTACGGAAGTGGTAAGTAGATTCCACTAGATTCTACTGTAATAGCCTGCGTTACTTTCAGAAATATAATATTATATACAAGTATTATAACATTACTTGTCCATTATATTAACTAGATTCCAGATCTCTATACCGTACTATAGACAGTACTGTACCGTACTGAACTGTATGCCTAAAATCGGAGAGATAATCTGTCCCCGATGCATACTGTAGATAACCACGACACTCGGTTAATTTAAATATAAGTTGTTTGATTTTCCCCCATTAATCAAACCGGTGCCGCCGGTGGCTTCCTAGTAGACTAATATAAGAGCAGCACAAACTCTGATGATCTTTTCAATATCGTTGAACTTTTAAATTACTGTTGGCCCTACCTCAACTGTTTTTACAAAACAAAAGCTTTTACAAGGTAGATAGCATTTTCCTTAACTACTTGACACCGTCCTGCTGTTGTGAAGTTGAAAAATTCCCTCGAAAAGCAATGAAAACAAATCTTGAAAATTATGTCCCAGTGGCAACCTTTAACTTCATTTTAGATAAATATACATGTAGGTTATATCAAATATAGATATACATGCATTTGTTGTAATTTCGGGATTTTTTTGTGTACTTTAAACTGGAGGTGTTGACTTCATATTTTACTGTCGCAACAGTTAGTGTAAATAGTTTCAAACAATGTATGTTTTAGTGTGGTGTATCGAGTCTTTTAAGGGAAGTTTGTTTTGGTAGGTCAAAATTGTAAAATTGAAAAAAGATTGATTTGTCAAGATGTTGCAGCGAAAGAATAGAAAACAAACTGAATAAGAGTTATTGTGGAGGTTATCTCTGATATCGAATCACAATAGTTACTTAGATACAGTATCTAGGCGTTGTTTGATCTATAGAGTAGAGTAAATTGTCATCTAAGATGTCTCTTGCAATTTATTTTTAATCAGGGGATTATTCGAGTACTTTTGTATAACTTTAAGAAAATGTATTGTATTTTATGTTTTATAGTAATTTCACTTTTAAGATAGTTTTTATCTGACATACACGTAAGCATCACCAAATAACCTTTTCTTATAAACGTTTCCTTGTCTTCTATTTCAGCTGCTCGTACGTATCCACTTCCGTTATTTTAGTTTATAACTTACTATAGTATTATATATTTATATCCTATGTTAAATATTTTGAAACAGTTAAACTCTGAAAGTACCATAAAAATCATATACATGTACATGTATGTGGAAAACTCATCAAGGCCAACTTTAATTTGTATATGTGTGTGTGCCAATTGCTAAGTCAAGTTTAAATTGGACTTCACCTGTCACATCACATAAATAAGTTATAAAATTATTGATTACATAAAATGATTTACTTATTTTATTCTTAACTTCATCATAATCAGAAAGTCTAGTAGCAGTAAGTAAAAATGTTTCTAAATTTATTTCAAGAACTAATTTAAAGCGTCAACTCATGTTCAGAGTTTCACTGTATTTTGGTGACTGTCATATGTGTTCTTATGTACTGTGTGAATCAGAATAGCTTGCAAGTGCCCTCACAGATGCGATGGTCAAACCACGTGGTATTTGATATCTTAAACACTTTTAAAATCGTTCGTTTGTGAAATTATTTGGTAATATATGGTGTGTTTATAAAGTGATTTCTATCTGACATATTAAAACAAGTCAGATCATTCAAATACACTGGGCATAGTTTCTCGGTGTGAAAGCCAGAGTAGGTAATCTCATAACTATAATAGTACCTGTCAATTTCATCAAGTTCAACTATGTTAAAATTGTATATATTTGAAAAATATTATACATGAAAAAAATACATATTATGCAATATACCATGCTATCATCAGAATACCACTAAGGTTTACCACTCAGATATAAATAATTTAACATGCTTGCTAGTGAAACTATTAGAGTTCTAGCATCACATAACTTGAAATATCATAAACCTAGGAAATTGATATTTTTGTCACGTGACTTCCCTTATTTACATTGTAATATGATGTCCAGAGTGTATTGTGTATATACAATATTGTTTGAAAATTGAGTTAACTGTTCTAGAAAATCCAAGTTTTAAGTGCTTCTGTATATAAGCTTAGTTTTACATCTAGAAAATTACTTTTATTATACTTACAGATTTCAAAATACATGTAGAATTATATTAACTAATAAAGTGACTATTTTTCTGTTAATGATGATGATATTAACTACATTCTTAGATGTCAAGTTTATTCGTTTTTATCACTTCTGTATTATTTAAAAAACATGTTAAACTATCTGGTGTTAGTAATTAAAGTTTTAATGCAATGTTTTATTTATTTCAGGAAAAGATGAACGGAATCAGCCGGATGGAGATATCGGTTGCTGTGGTTACGTTCTCATGTTTTTCTCTATTATCATCTTGATTCTGTTTTTCCCTTTCTCTTTGATCTGCTCACTTAAGGTAAGGCAACGTCTATAAATATTTTGGTGGACTTTGGTTTATTAACTATATTTACATTATTATCTTTATTTACATACTTGCGTTTAAATAAAACGTGTACTGTCCTAGGATGATAATTTGGTCTTAACGGTACATGGGAAAGTCCAAAAAACGGGATAATCTGGATTACTATCCGATATCGTAAAAGTAAACACTTACAAATACTATATAGCATTATTCTTACAGTATCGTTTGTGTATTACCGTTATGGCTCTGTCGGTAGATCGAAACTGTCGGTAGATCGAAATTATTTGTAACTTTTAGAATTTTGTTCTCATAGGTTCGAACCACAATTTAAGTAGTGCCATTTTATAACCACAGTTGTTTCTTCTTGCTCTGTTTTTTATCATTATAATTATTCATTTATTTTCGTTTTCCTTTTTGTTTTCTTCTTATGATATATATTTTATAGTATATATTTATTTCTATTTCTATTCATTTTTCTTTTTGTATTTTTTGATCACAGTGAAATAAAATATTCGATCTCATATTCATGTATGTATAAAACCGGTCAAACTTGTTTTCTGAACTAAGTCTATTGACTGTTCTGAGGTAAAAAAAATCGTGTCGTACCAGTGGTCGACCTTCTGTCTGTGCGGATAAACACATTACTGACACGGTTGCTCTACCTACTGCGCTAACAAGACATACGATAACATGTAGTTTTATTTTCATTTTTATAGATTGTGGCATTGATCTGCCTAACCTTTTTTTCGCATTGTTATTGGTCTTTGTTATGTAAACAAAGGCTCAAGTTATAGTCTGATTTTATTGACCTGTCAATTATGAATACATTATAGGACTCATTTAAATATTCGATCCCACTTCGGTTTGGTCCGTGTAGTTTACGAGAATTAATGTGGAGTATATTAGACATGGATTGAAAGTCACTCCAGCTTAATGTAGAGGTTTTCGTTAATTCATAATAGGACAGTCGGTAAAGAGAATGCCTGATATTTGAGAGGTCTGTAGTTCGATCCTTACTGTTGCCATTTTTTTAGTATATTTTAATGGAACAGATTTGTAGTGTGTTTTACGGCATTGAAAAGACATTTACTGGTTTTAATCCGTTTTAATTTAAACATGAGTTCTTAAAAAACATGTTATTTAAAAAGGATATATACATAACAAAATTAAGTAAAACATAATCAATCAAAACGAACAACATAAAATAATCATATAATTATAGATTCAATAATGTTGAGAGTATTAATAAGAAAAAAACATGGACCAACGCGGCCTCGAACTTAAAACACGTGTGACACTTATTATTATAAACTCGTGGTTTATCCTATTGCGCTATAACGCTGAGTACACTTAGTTTAGAGATACAAATTAAATTAAATTCCATCGTACCGCGTACATCTCACGGAACTTACCGAACATCTACCGAAGATTAATATACTGTGTGCATCGACCGTGTAATCAGTATGTAATTGACAGGTTAATAAAACCAAACAATATCATCCTAGGACAGTAGCTTCTTTTATAGGAAAGGTAAATTGCGATATCTATACTTTTTGAGGAACGTACATGCATTTATATTATACAGTATATATCATTTGGTCGATTGGTTTTGAATGCTAATAGTTCAGTATATTTTACTTCAATAATGTGTATGTTTAGCCTGTTTAGGTGACCATATGTTACTTTGTATTGCTATTTATAAAACATTGTCAAAAAATACCAATTTAATGATATTGGTTACTGTCTAAACCTGTTCAAACCGGAAGTGATTAGCTTTTGCCGCCATTATATAGTCAGGCTAGCTTGTAACACCCGTGCAGTCTGATCAGGCTCTAAACTGTTAGTAGCTCAATTTTGTATGTTGATATTTAACTCTCGCTAACTTCAAATTGAGTGTGTCCAATTCATTGCCGGGCAATTTCATAAATTCAGCAGTCAAGTGTTAAAGTCACTGTTGTTATGATGATTTCATATATTTGTTAATTAACTAGGTTGTGCAGGAGTATGAAAGGGCGGTCATATTCAGACTGGGAAGAGTTGTATCTGGTGGGGCCAAGGGTCCAGGTATGTGCCATTGATTAATTTACTTGTTTGTATAAAACATATAGATATATAATTAATTGAAGAAATTGATAAACATAAACACAAATAGATTACAATTAGTCTTTCAGTTTACCATATCTTTTAGACAAGAGAAATGCATGTTGGTCTGGAAAACGTTTTATCATTTGTTATAGAAAAAGCAAAGAAAATAAAAAGAATTGTTACTTACAATTAAGATGTTATTGTATTATTTTAGCTCTTGTAATTTATTTATTAATGTCAATAACCTTATATAATTTTAAACTTAGGTTTGTTTTTCCTGTTCCCATGTGTGGACACGTTTAAGAGCGTAGATTTGAGAACATTTTCTTACGACATTCCACCACAAGAGGTAAATATATTGACTTTATTCTGAAGATAATTCCTCTATGAATTGTAAGCTTATTTTGAATTATAAAAGATTACAACCTTTTCAATTTTTATAAAGTTGAATGATTGCAACTGAAAGGTATATTAGATAAAAGAAATGTTTACCAACTATTTAACTTTACATACGAAACAGTTACATATTTGAAATACCAATCAAACTATACTTGGACTGTCACATAATTTTGTACTAGCCTATTTTGACATTTTTCATCAATAATGTTTCTCATAACGATATATATATATATGATAAACTCTATTATAGTCATTATGTTAATCTGTTGGTTGATATGACATTATCATTATGTGAAACATGAATCAGCGTAAATTATATGTTATTGTATGAATATTACATTTTGGTGACATTTATGTAGTGTAGAAAAACAAGTGAATGTTTTCAATTATTGTGTAGGAAAACTGGTTGAGATGTAGAATACATATGATAAATACTGAAGCATTAAATGTTGCACATGACTGCTGATAAACAAATTGATGCGAAAAATTAATATACTTAGTACATACTCTTGTGTGTAAATATAAACAGTAATACCTACTTGTATAGTAAACTGAATTACATCTTTAATATCATTTTTGATGTTCATTGGAACGCATTAAAGATTTAACCGGTCAAGAGAGAGCATTTTATTTTGTAAATGTTTACTAATTAATACTAGCAAATTAATTTTACTAGATTTACTACACTGATTTATTTACATAAGTGTATGAGATATGTTTCCAATTATTTTTTGCAATACTGCAATTCTATTAATATTATATATATATAGAAAACTTCTAGGTCAATATAAAATATCTATAGTTGCTATTTTATGCTAGTATTACCTTATTGTATTGTATTACTTGCCATCGTGTCTTTGTTCTACAAGAACAATACTTTCTGTTTTGTTTTGATTGTTATGTTTTGTATAATATCTTATCTTGACATCCGAATTCAATAGTGCCTTTTCCCGTCATTTATTGACTACTGTGAAAAATTGCTGTGAACATCGAGGGTACAATGGACTCATTGATGTTGGAACAAAACAAACAGCATTATTCAGTGTTTCTCTGTTGCTGTTTACTAAATGAATAAGTGATAAACTAGTGTATAAATGTATCATGTTTACAAATGTTTGATTTAAAAAGTTTACTATTTAAGAACTGAATATTTGAAATTGTTAATTAATAAATATTGTATCTATGTACTGAAGCAAGGCTGCAATAATGTGTTAAGTTATTATAATTAACTAGAAATAAATGATATGCATGACCAATGTAATGATATTAAAGGGTAAATTGCTGTTACAGTTCAATGATTTTACTGTATGCAACTTAAAGGTACTTCATTTATAGAAAAAAAAATAAAGCCTTAATTCCAATTTCCACTGTTGATAAAAAAGGAAGGTACAATATTGTTTTAGTTTGTTAGATCTGTCGCCACGATTATCGTGATAAATATAAGGTAAATACAAGGTAACCCCACATTATAGAGATGAATACATAGAATGAAATAGGTGAAAAACTTAACAAAATAAGATCAGTTTATTAGATTAGGGACATATATGTGTGTTAGTTTTTCAAAAGACATGTATCTGTTAACTTTCCATATGTACTTAACAGTTTTTTCTGATCAGATCCTATCACGTGACTCAGTTACGGTGGCCGTGGACGCTGTCATCTACGCCCGAATCTTTGACGCTACCATGTCGATCATCAATGTAGAGAATGCGCATGCGTCGACTAAACTTTTGGCGGCAACGACATTACGTAATGTGTTGGGAACGAAGCAGTTATCAGAGATATTAAGTGACAGAGAAGCTATTGCACATGTCATGCAGGTTAGAGATGCACGAAATTACCGTGCAGTGTAATAATAATGTTTATTAAAATGCATACACAATATGTGAGTTAACCGCAGTTATTTAAGAACTGATACAAAAGTTAATGAAAGTGTTGGTCATTCAATTGGTAAAGCTGTGCTGATATTTAATTGCGGTTAACCTTTTTTGTGAATGCATCACTAATTTCCTTTATATTGTAGAAAAAAAGCAAGGAGATGGCAGGGTCACGAAACATTTGGCTCTATAAATGTTACAAAACAACAAAACCGAACAAAAACATCTTTTATTTATAACTCTCTTTGATTATTAGATTCTAACAAAAGACTCTGTGACCGTAGCAGTTGACGCTGTTATTTATGCGCGCATTTTTGACGCCACAATGTCGATCATTAACGTCGAAAATGCGCATGCGTCAACCAAACTTCTTGCCGCTACAACTTTGAGAAATATTATGGGGACCAAAAATTTGTCAGAAGTTTTGAGCGATCGGGAACAGATTGCTCATTCAATGCAGGTAGGCACAATATCTCCAGGCATGTGTACATTTAACCCATTTATTCATAAGCATTTTGTGAAAAAATGGCTGTTTTCATTGAAAAGTCTCCCGTTACAAGTTCAAATTGCTATAAAACTTTAAAAACTGCTTCAATACTAATCAAATTTGGCACAAATGTTAACTGGACCATTGCCTTTGAAACAACATGCTCGGGCTTAAATTTTCTGTTACCATGACATCTCAAAATTGCCCAAAATCACTATTTTGCGTTGATTTTTTCCATCAAAATTTATTACAAAGTGCTGCAACTTCTCAATGGATTGAGATAGAGTCAAATACTTTTCAGTATTGGTTACACGTTACCTTATGATCGATCTGGGGTCATTTTTAGCCTCTCACAAGTCCAAAATTTTTCTGGCGATGAGGGGGACTGCCGCCCCCTTCAAACCCCCCTCCCCCCAAACAGAAGGGGGCACATCCCCCTTCTGGCAACCCCTGATGTATCTTTTGGTTGGGGGCCGCGCCGAAAAAGTGGTCACTTTTTTCACAACATTTCTCAAACGAAAACATGTGTTTGGGGCCCAAACAGGACATTTTTTCACTATTTGAGGCCTTAAGAGGAGGGGGAGGTCGAAAGTGCGTTGTTTCGCGTATATATGAGGTAAAGGGTTAACATACTGAAACTTTAAACCAGCTTTAATTCTGGTATTTCCCGCAATTTTACCAGTTGTGTTATACATAGAAAGCTTAATGAATTTCCATCACACGTTTTGGAATGTTCGGTACTTTCCGCCTTTCTCCGTATATAACAAGAAAGCGTCTTGATATCTTGCTGTAGTACTTTTTAAATACGGAATTTGAAGAAATTACGGCGCCGAAATCACTGACTTTATCCAAACTTTTGAATGTTGATATCCCAAACTCTTTACCTTTCTAAATTCATGTGTTCACTATTATTTTAGAACACTCACTCGCTCACATACGAAATTTGAATTTCTCCTTTATGCAAATATGTTTCCTGCTGTTTTTGATGACTTATTATCTATCTATTTAGATGTATATTTTATACTTGTGACTTGGTAAACAACGCGTGTTTCTTGATATTATCTGAACAAAAATAACAGACTGAAAAAAGTATTTTTTGTGTTTTCACAGATACCATTAATAACGATAAATGTAACGAAACTGACCTATTGTAATTTCTATATTTGGTATTTGAATTGTTAGTTTTACAGTTTAAGTTTGATATATAAAAAAGTCTAGGTTAACGATTACTTTATTACTTTGTGTATATTCGATTTAAGCAGTTTTCGTACAGTCGTAATATGTTTTTTATAATACTGAACGTTTTTAAATTGTTTTTCATTGATTAAATGATTTAATATACTCCATATACACCTCTGCTAAACATTTATGAAATAATCTTTATACCGTATTTATACTAAAAAAAAAGAAGAAAAGAAATATATTCGTTAAAAAGATTTTGACAGGTGATATGGTGATACGATCGCTAATATTGGACAATATGACCTGTTAAAAATCTATATAACCTGTAGAAATTCAATATCAGGATTGTTTTAAAAACTTTGTTGTCAAACCTCTTACTCGATATATACCACATAATACATTAATACTATGTTAACCTGATTCCGTACACATACACTTAACGAACATGCATAACTAGACTTATTGAAAGGATCTTTTTACTTTTTATTAAACGGAAACTCATTTTTTGTTAAACAAGAAAAGTAGAATTCTTAGATTAAAAAGATTTTTGCATACATAACTTGAATCAATCTTTGTTCGCGTGACCTTGTGTTCTAAATTATGAAAACTGAGATTATTTTTTTAGAAAACATTTATATCATTCTAAAAAAAGCTTTTTTCCTCTCCCTCTTGAAATTGTGAATTGGTTCCTATAGATTGTTGTCGCATATTGTGCTTTCTCTAGATATGTTGTTCAACTTTCCGTTATAAATATATAAAAAGAAGAGTTATAATACTTTTTATAGCTAGAATAGACACACTATTGTTTGATGGTAGGAACATGAATAAGTATTGTGAAGCGTTCAACATAAAATATGTAAACAAAATATAAGTGTATCTAAGAGATGGGGCCGGAAAAAAGATAAGATCTCTTTATTCTATGTGTCCTGTATAACAAGTTTGAGACGTTTGTGTATAATTACATGGTTCACATTCAGTAAACAATTTAAAAGCTTGTATTCCATTTTTAAGTTGTTCTATTTTAAAAAATTTGAATTATTGCACATAAATTAAGTTATTTTTTGTTTGTTTCATTGACGTCAATTTTAGTTGCACTTCGAAGAAAAATAGTGAAGGCCGATCTATAGTTATGGCCATTCGCATTAAATAATGTGTGAATAATGACTTAGCAAAAAGTTTGTTGTTTATTTATATATCATGCATGATTTAAAGTTTATATTTATTTAAGATTTTATTATTTTACAGGCGACACTTGATGATGCTACAGATCCATGGGGTGTTAAAGTTGAACGTGTTGAAGTGTACGTATTCATTTGTTAACTTCCACATCAATAATTCTCAATTAAATCACCATTTACGCTATTTTCCACGTTTTATAAACGTTAAATCATTCGAACGTTGTTATATATAAACCGTAAATCGATCAAAGTCCATATAAAGTAAATACATTCCTTTAAAATGTTTTAGTTTACATGTATATTGTTTCAAGATAAAAAAAATAAGCAAGTTACCCGTAAAAATGTATTTTTAGCCAATTTCTCTTACTTACATTAATTTAAATATGTGTAAGACGATAACTGACAAGGAAATTAAGTCATTTATTATTATACTGGTTGAAATTATAAATTTTCTTTCAATTATAGGAAAGATGTTCGACTTCCGGTACAGATGCAGAGAGCTATGGCTGCTGAAGCCGAAGCTGCACGTGAGGCTCGTGCTAAGGTGAGAAATATATGTAATTTTCTACGAGTTGATTAAGGGACATTAGATTTATTGATTTCACTACGTATTGTTGTCATACTGTGCTTAGATATTTAACTATGTAAATATTCTGTTAATTTCCATATTTTCATAAATAAATTATTACTCTGGACCGGCCGTTCTCAAAACGAATGGCGCCAAGAATAGGAGATTGTGTTAGAATTATTATTGAATAGACTGGTCCATCAAAGACCCCCGGTAACTGACCGTGATCAGATTAAACAAATGTCACTGTTTATGCAAGACTTTAACGCTGCTAATGATCAGCCTTCAAACATGCAAACATTATTATGTTCTACATTTTCTTGTACTGAAAATCAGAACAGGATATCTAAAATGTCGTCTGCTTCCTGAAAACTTTTTAAGAGATTAATTCGAAGCAGCTATTTATAGACGGTATTGAGATATTATCGATTTTACAGCTGCTTGGAATATTATATTATAGATTTCACGATTTCTGTTTACGCTCCAATAAAACCCACAGGAACTATCTTTTACAGACTATACTCCAATGAAACCCACAGGAAGTATCTAATTGCTATGAGCAAATGAATAAATATGATCGATAAATTTGTAATTGTAAGTTTGTAAACAGTGCTGGCTGCTGGGCATTTTTAAAATAAATATCAATATAGTCACATGTAATGATTGATCAAGAAACAAACGCAGCACTTGTTAAATTTCTGTTTTTGCAGTAAGTATTGCAATTCTCTTATAAATGATATGATAGGATATGATATCGATGTGTCGACTTTTAGATTATAAATAACTGATGGTATATTTCAGGTGATTGCGGCTGAAGGAGAAATGAAGGCTTCTCGATCCTTGAAGGAAGCAGCCGACGTCATGGCCGAGTCACCGGCGGCATTACAACTCCGTTATTTGCAGACCCTCAACTCGATCGCAGCCGAGAAGAACTCGACCATAATTTTCCCGCTCCCCATTGATATGATTGGCGGTGCTCTCAAGCGTTAAAATTATGGCCTGTGAGACTTATACACGAATCTGCACGTGATATACCATGTGCACGTGATACGTGCTCGATAAGTGCTTTATTTAGAAAACAAAAACTCTGGGAACATTTTATAATTATGTACCATTACTTTATGCGGTGTTGAAAATAAGTGAGTTAGCCACAAAATGTATTTTTATTTTGAGCTAAAATCCCTAAATGTTATGTTTTACAAACAAATAAGATATTAAAAAACACAGCCCAGAGAATAGCGCCGTGTCCTCTTAAGGCTTTTTTGTTGGCGTTTTTTTTTAATTAAACAGAGTATTTTATAATCGATTTGATATTATGCTTGTACATGTACAGTAATTTTATTATAGTAGGTAAAATGTTGTAGTTTCTAAATTTGTTTATATTTACTGATACTGTATATATCAGTGTATAAGTTTATATTGTCACAATAGTATGGTAATACAAACGTTATTGCTTTTTATGCCCCCATTTCGAAGAAAAGGGGGTATATTGCTTTGCACTTGTCGGTCCGTCGGTCCGTCGGTCCGTAGACCAAATGGTTTCCGAGTGATAACTAAAGAACCCTTAGGCCTAGGAACTTCAAACTTGGTATGGTGATTGGTCATGACCAGTAGATGACCCCTATTGATTTTGGGGTCAAGGGGTCAAAGGTCAAGGTCACATTGACCTTGAAAGCAAAAAACGGTTTCCGATCAATAACTAAAGAACCTTAAGGCCTAGGAATTTCAAACTTGGTATGGTGATTGGTCATGATCAGTAGATGACCCCTATTGATTTTGGGGTCAAGGGGTCAAAGGTCAAGGTCACATTGACCTTGAAAGCAAAAACGGTTTCCGATCAATAACTAAAAAACCTTAAGGCCTAGGAACTTCAAACTTGGTATGGTGATTGGTCATGACCAGTAGATGACCCCTATTGATTTTGGGGTCAAGGGGTCAAGGTCACATTGACCTTGAAAGCAAAAACGGTTTCCGATCAATAACTAAAGAACCTTAAGGCCTAGGAACTTCAAACTTGGTATGGTGATTGGTCATGACCAGTAGATGACCCCTATTGATTTTGGGGTCAAGGGGTCAAAGTTCAAGGTCACATTGACCTTGAAAGCAAAAACGGTTTCCGATCAATAACTAAAGAACCTTAAGGCGTAGGAACTTCAAACTTGGTATGGTGATTGGTCATGATCAGTAGATGACCCCTATTGATTTTGGGGTCAAAGGTCAAGGTCACATTGACCTTTTAAGCAAAAACGGTTTCCGATCAATAACTAAAGAACCTTAAGGCCTAGGAACTTCAAACTTGGTATGGTGATTGGTCATGATCAGTAGATGACCCCTATTGATTTTGGGGTCAAGGGGTCAAAGGTCAAGGTCACATTGACCTTGTAGGTAAAAATGGTTTCCAATCAATAACTAAAGAACCTTAAGGCCTAGGAACTTCAAACTGGGTATGGTGATTGGTTATGACCAATCAGATGACCCCTATTGATTTTGGGGTTAAGGGGTCAAAGGTCAAGGTCACATTGACCTTGTAGGTAAAAACGGTTTCCGATCAATAATGAAAGAACCCTTAGGCCTAGGGACTTCAAACTTGAGATGGTGATTGGTCATGATCAGTAGATGACCCCTATTGATTTTGGGGTCAAGGGGTCAAAGGTCAAGGTCACATTGACCTCTTAGGTAAAAACGGTTTCCGATCAATAACTAAAGAACCCTAAGGCCTAGGAACTTCAAACTTGATATGGTGATTGGTCATAACCAGCAGATGACCTATTGATTTTGGGGTCAAGGGGTCAAAGGTCAAGGTCACATTGACCTTGTAGGTAAAAACGGTTTCCGATCAATTTACTAAAAACGCTTTGGCCCAAGGAACTTCAACCTTTGTGTGATGATTGGTCATGACCAGCAGATGACCCCTATTGAGTTTTAGGTGAAGGGGTCAAAGGTCAAGGTCACATTGACCTTGTAAGTAAAAACGGTTTCTGATCAATAACTCAAGAACACTTAGGCCTAGGAACTTCAAACTTGGTATGGTGATTTGTCATGACCAGCAGATTACTCATATTGATTTTGGAATTAAGGGGTCAAAGTTCAAGGTCACAATGACCTTGTAAGTAAAAACAGTTTCTGATCAATAACTAAAGAACGTTCGTCCTAGGAACTTCAAACTTGGCATGTTGATTGGTCATGACCAGCAGATGACCCCTATTGATTTTGGGGTCAAAGGTCAAGGTCACATTGACCTTGTATGTTAAAACGGTTTCCGATCAATAATAAGAGAACCCTTAGGCCTAGGAACTTCAACCTAGGCTTGGTGATTGGTCATGACCAGCAGATGACCCCTATTGATTTTGGGGTCAAGGGGTCAAAGGTCAAGGTCACATTGACCTTGTAGGTAAAAACGGTTTCTGATCAATTTACTAAAAACGCCTAGGCCTAGGAACTTCAAACTTTGTATGATGATTGGTCGTGACCAGCAGATGACCCCTATTGAGTTTTGGGTCAAGGGGTCAAAGTCATGACCAGTAGATACTTTATAACCCTTATTAATTGTTTGATCACTGGGTCAGAAGTCATGCATTATAACCTTATCACATGACTAATTGGCTGCTGATAGGGGGCATACATGTTTTACAAACATATCTTGTTTAAAATAAATTTATTACTCTTAGTTAAAAAAAAAGATTAAAACATGTATAAAGTTTGAAATGTGTCATTGTGACAATCATATTAAAACAACTTAATGATTAAAGTTATACAATATTTTAAAATTTAGTTCGTGTGAACTGGTGATGAAGCTTGTCACTTTGTACGAGTATTTTAAATTTTATACTATAGTTAATATTAATTTATTTAAATAAAATGATGCCTGTAAACTATTGTTCAAGGGTAAAAAACTGAACTTTTACAGCAAGATACTGATGTTTTGTTTTTTGTGTCATTACATGATCAAATATTACCATCTTTTAAATATTCTGTGATAAAATGTATTAAAAATAAATGAATAATTTAAAATATTAAAAAAAATATAATAATGAGATATTGCATATAGAAATAAATACTAAATAAACATGTGGGCAACATACAGTATAACTGTGTTTAAAGCCTTGATAGAGGTACATACAATATAGTATAAACTATAAAGTTCAAACAGACGCTTTCCACACACACATGGTCTTTGTGTTGATAATATAAATATTCTAATATAATGATGAATTTAGTACAAGAGACAAATCAAAAATTCTGTTTTCAATTATTTTTGTAATTTTTAATTTAAATTATTAAATATTTGTATTAAATGTTTTACAGGCAGTCGTTATAAATCTGTTAATGTTTATCGTTAATTCATAATATTTTTTTTCTTCATTTTGAAATAGTTACATATTGTTCAATGCAGATTTTTAAAAATGTGTTCTTGTTATATTCCATTGTTCTATTTTATTCAAAGTAAACTTGCTGTTATACACAACAATGTATTTATAAAAATGAGACCATTAAGAAGAATTATACACACAACTATTAACTTCACAGTATATTCTCCCTGATATAGATAAACGATGATTTTTTCCACATATACATTTACATTAGATGCAGCTAATTAAGTTGTGTTGAAGGTTTTATCAGGGACATGTATATATACATGTATTTACACGTCCCGGGTATCATCTAGCTTAAAGTATCATGCTGATATATAATTAAGTCATACTGGAATAGATACTGTTGGACATGAGTAAGTTTTTTATAGTTTCAAAACTGCATGCAAGTACCTTGTTCAAAACGCTCGATTTTTTCATCATATTTTTTTATCTAACATGTTACTCATTTTGTGTTTTTGTAAACGTTTGACTGTAGCATATTGTTTTATCAATAAAAATACATATATATTGACGATTGTTTTTTTCTTGACAACTTGTTTTGAAAATGTACATTCAATATGTACTTTTGCACTAAAGATTGTAAAACTTGGGCATACTTTCAGAAAAAAAGTAAGTAGCCACGAAAATTGTTGAAGATACGGAAAATGGCGAATTATGCCGATTTATCACGGAAAGAGACAAGTTATGCCGAGTTACTCGGGAAGAGGCGAACTATGCTGATTGATTCCCAGTGAATCAAAATATGTATTGCAAGAACTTAACACCGAGATTCAACACAGAAAGTCCCATATTGCATCTACTTTTTTGTTTTACATCAAGTCACGTGGTAGAAATTTTAATCCGCGTTATCACCGAAATGATTATGCATAACCGGCGTGGTGTTCCGAATGGTATTTCACGTAACATTCATAATCTCCATTGGTAAATGCAAGTCTCTCACAATTCTATCATCTTGTTAGCTAATAAAAAATCTTTTTAGCTCCATTTTTTTCGAATAGCGAGCTACTGCCATGACCAACCGGTCGTCGTCGGCGTTGGTTAACCTTTTTGTTTTCGTTTATGGTAATTTACTTCAATATTTTATAAATCTTTTTAATTGAAACTTTCTACTTAAGTCGATAAGTTCAATCTGGTCATCGTCGGTTACCTACGGTTGATTACCATGATAATAATTAATGGTTCCGACGATGTTGCTGGCTATACGATTGTAAAGAAGGTCAAGGTCACTTAAACCTGTAAATAACAAAACATAAAACTACTTAGGATCTTCAAACTTTGTATGTAGATGTATCTTGATGAGTTCCACCAACAATACCAATTTTCAATTCCAAAGGTCAAGGTCACATGGGCCTGTTATAATTTAACAAACCTGGAACTTAAATCAAATCAAAAACTGGGCACTGTAGATGCACTTTGATGAGTTTTACCTGTCACACCTATTCTTAAGCCAAAAGGTCAAGGTCTCTGAGACCTGTTTTAACAACATAGTACTGGTCATTAATTAAAGAACATTTGACCAGAAACTTTGAACATTGTATGAAGTACACCTTGATAAGTTTTATTTATCATATTCATTTATATGTCAAAAATTTAAAGGTCAGGGTCACTAGGACTTGTAATGGTTAATTGGTTAAATTCCATTTTCTCAGAACCTACCAACAGCTTTTCACTTTAAACTTTATAAAATATGAAGTCATGTCACAAGGTCATAAAATTCTGGAACTTTGTTCTCTTTTTCGTCTTAGATATTTTACACCAGGTTAGCTTTAAGTTTAATTTCTCAAAAAGATACCAAAGACATTTACTGTTCTTGTCCACTATCAAATTTTAAATGGCATTTCTAAAATTTCTAAAGGGCAGGTAACCCTAATAATCGCTGTGTCGACGTTATCGTCGCGCAAAAACAATAATGTAGCCCATTATTTGGTATCAACTTGCTTATAATGACAAGGTGCAGTTAATCTAAAAAAAAGATAGGTATCAGTATGAAACTTGTACAAGACATAGGTTTAGATCAAGGGACATTATACTGAAAGCAATATCTTAGGAGTTATGTCCCTTTTTAACTTGAGTTTATAAATTTGGTTATATATAGTCGTTACCCTCAACAGAGGAGCGTTACATACTGCATGCAGTGCTCTTGCTATATCTGTATATGTTCATACCACCAGATATTTTCACTCCAAAGTTGAAATACTTGTTTATAGATAGGGACAGGTACTCCCCTCCCCCCAAACACCATCAGATTTGCATAATCATATCTCCTTTCCTATTTTGCTACTAACATGCTATCATTTACTGGGAAAAATGGAGCGTGATGCTCCTCTTGTTTATATTTTGGTTTTATAACAATATTTATGTTCACATATTAAAGAGTACTTGACGAGTCGCCTAAAATCTGAGTACTTATTTTATTAAAATATTAATTTGAATACAATATTAAATCAATATCCCCCCATCCCCGAAAAAAAATGATTGCCGCATTTGTCAAGGAAGCTGAATAATGTTATTATCGGGAACTATGAAATACGTTAACTTTTCGCCACAGTCTTGTGAACGAAATCTTAGCTTTAATATCATGTTTGAATATTCTAAACTTATGATATTAATGATAATAAAATTAATGTCATAGAGAAGAATGTTATTGCTAAGGATGTTAATGCCATATTTATATTCGAAGGCCTTATACGTCATCTTACGGACCTTAATTGGTCATCTTAAGAGCAAGAAAGACTTTCAATTTTTTACGAATGAAGAACTTGATAAGCCGGAATTAGTGGAATCAGTAGAGGTGACACGCTTGTTTGGTCTGACTTATTTATAAGTAACCAATTAATGATTAACGTTATAAATAGTAAGGAATCATTTTACACATTATCAATGGCACTTACAACCCAAGTTTATTACTAAAAGAGTTTAAAATATGCCTTTACTGTGTTAGTAACGCAGTAGAAATATAGTTACACATAATAAAAAATTCACCATTAATCGCTCATAACATCTAAATTATTTCTTGAATTGTGAATCTTTCTACATGCCTAAAATCATAGTACATTTTTGCAAGTTCGATTTATTGATTTTTTTTTCGCTCATTTGGAGGCATGCTGCTTTAAGTGGAAGATAGGACATTGACCTGAGTGGCCAACGTTAATTTATATATGTGCGTGGAACATATTCTCTACAGTGATGTAGTACCCCTGTATATAGGCGAAGAGGCATGTAAACAAAATAAACTTAGACTATTTTTTACATTTCATAACGACAAATATTGATCTGGTTTAGTATGTTATTCATATAGTCAATATACACATTTCGAAATACACTGAGAAACTTCAATAGGTTAACAGGATTAACAATAGCTAGGTGAGCTTGGATCTATATAAATTGATCGATTTTTATTTTCTCCGTACTCAGTATAGTCAGTTTACCCAACAGGACAGAACGGTTCAGGATTATAAAATTAAGCACGGACATATTTTTTTTTGTGACAGGCAGGTAAGACTTTTATTTTAAAATGGAAGATAATTACCTAATGCAGGTAAATATCGAGCTTCATTAATAAATAAGGTAATAAGATGGAATTATAAACGTAACATATATACAGTATATACATATTCACAGTTCATCTGTTCATTACAATACTGTACAGTACATGTATACTTGTAAAGTGAATTTGTTACAACCAGATATTAGCATTCAATTTATCAGAATTTAAGAGAGGGTGATAAAATAATATGATAAAAGTAATAGATAATAAAATATAAAACATACGTATATACAGTATAGAAATATTGCCATAGGGAAAACAGGAGAAATCTGAAATTCTAAACCAGGTAAAACTGCTAGAACTGTTTGTATTAGTGAATTGCCTGTTACTATAATCAATTAATGGCGGCCATGTTACATTATTACTAGTAAATTGTTATTAGACGCGTTGATGTATTTTCCGCGGGAATTTGTATGTTGTCTGATATATCATTCGAGAGTTATAAACACATGTATAATACAATGAACAATGGAAGATTTATTAAAACACGGACAAAGGATCTGTTTTATGCAGTAATCTAAACGTAGAAATGCAGCCAAACATCGTACTTTTTGGTTGACTTGATAAAGTTGATATTTGCATGCATGCAGGAACAGGAAACAACTTTTACAGAAGACTATATCGCATCGGTATGTTCTCTATTTACAGTTGATTTAAGTAACTGGTATTTTACAACTCTAGATTAACGGGTCAAATCTCAATGTATGTTAGTCAAGTAAATTGCAAAATGCAATAAAAAATAATGAAAAAGCCTATACCTATCTTTGATTAACTTGTGCTTTAATCTTGACTGTGTGCCAGGAACTTAATAAACTCCAGGTGTGAGTCCTCATAAATATGCAGGTCCCAGTTTCTATGAGTTTCTGTGTACAGGTATGCAAGGTCCTATGCTGAGGTCAATTTCTAAGACAACATCGCCGTTGATTCCTATAAAGAGGTAAATTTCTACAGATGTGTGAAAGTCAGTTTCTACATTTTGCTCGACCAGTTATGCTGAGGTCAAGTTCTATGAAATCTTGTATAGCAGTTTCTATGCTGAAGTCAATTTCTATGACATCTTGTAAAACAGTTTCTATGCTGAGCTCAATGTCTATGGCATCTTGTAAAGCAGTTTCTATGCTGAGCTCAATTTCTATGACATCTTGAATAGCAGTTTCTATGCTTAGGTCAAGTTCTATGACATCTTGTAGCAGTTTCTATGCTTAGGTCAAGTTCTATGAAATCTTGTAGCAGTTTCTATGCTGAGGTCAATGTCTATGACATCTTGTAGCAGTCTCTATGCTGAGGTCAATGTCTATGACATCTTGTAGCAGTTTCTATGCTGAGGTTAATGTCTATGACATCCTGAATAGCAGTTTCTATGCTGAGGTCAATGTCTATGACATCTTGTAGCAGTTTCTATGCTTAGGTCAATGTCTATGACATCTTGTAGCAGTTTCTATGCTGAGGTCAATGTCTATGACATCTTGTAGCAGTTTTTATGCTGAGGTTAATGTCTATGACATCAAGAATAGCATTTTCTATGCTGAGGTCAATGTCTATGACATCTTGAATAACAGTTTCTATGCTGAGGTCAATTTCTATAACATCTTGTATAGCAGTTTCTATGCTGAGGTCAATTTCTATGACATCTTGTATAGCAGTTTCTATGCTTAGGTCAATGTCTATGACATCTTGAATAGCAGTTTCTATGCTGAGGTCAATGTCTATGACATCTTGTATAGCAGTTTCTATGCTGAGGTCAATTTCTATGACATCTTGTATAGCAGTTTCTATGCTTAGGTCAATTTCTATGACATCTTGTATAGCAGTTTCTATGCTGAGGTCAATTTCTATGACATCTTGTATAGCAGTTTCTATGCTTAGGTCAATTTCTATGACATCTTGTATAGCAGTTTCTATGCTGAGGTCAATTTCTATGACATCTTGTATAGCAGTTTCTATGCTGAGGTCAATTTCTATGACATATTATAAAGCGGGTTCTATGCTGAAGCTAATTTTTATGACATTTTGTATAACAGTTTCTATACCAAGGTCAAGTTCTATGAAATCTTGTACAGCAGTTTCTATGCTGGGGTCAATGTCTATGACATCTTGTATAGCAGTTTTTATGCTGAGGTCAATTTCTGTGACATCTTGTATAGCAGTTTCTATGCTGAGGTCAATGTCTATGACATCTTGTATAGCAGTTTCTATGCTGAGGTCAATTTCTACGACATCTTGTATAGCAGTTTTTATGCTTAGGTCAATGTCTATGACATCTTGAATAGCAGTTTCTATGCTGAGGTCAATGTCTATGACTTCTTGAATAGTAGTTTCTATGCTGAGGTCAAGTTCTATGACATTTTGAATAGCAGTTTCTATGCTGAATTCAATGTCTATGACATCTTGTAAAGCAGTTTTTTAATAACAGTTTCTATGCTGAGGTCAAGTTCTATGTGATCTTGAATAGCAGTTTCTATGCTGAGGATAATTTCTATGACATCTTGTAGCAGTTTCTATGCTTAGGTCAATTTTTATGACATCTAGAATAGCAGTTTCTATGCTGAGGTCAATTTATATAACATCTTGTAAAGCAGTTTCTATGCTGAGGTCAATTTCTATGACATCTTGTATAGCAGTTTCTATGCTTAGGTCAATTTCTATGACATTTGTAAAGCAGTTTTCTATGCTTAGCAATTTTATGACATTTGAATAACAGTTTCTATCCTGAGGTCAATTTCTATGACATCTTGTATAGCAGTTTCTATGCTTAGGTCAATTTCTATGACATCTTGTATAGCAGTTTTTATGCTTAGGTCAATGTCTATGACATCTTGAATAGCAGTTTCTATGCTGAGGTCAATGTCTATGACATCTTGAATAGCAGTTTCTATGCTGAGGTCAAGTTCTATGACATTTTGAATAGCAGTTTCTATGCTGAATTCAATGTCTATGACATCTTGTAAAGCAGTTTTTGAATAGCAGATTCTATGATGAGGATAATTTATATGACATCTTGTAGCAGTTTCTATGCTTAGGTCAATTTTTATGACATCTAGAATAGCAGTTTCTATGCTGAGGTCAATTTATATAACATCTTGTAAAGCAGTTTCTATGCTGAGGTCTATTTCTATGACATTTTGTATAGCGGTTTCTGTGTTGAGGTCAATTTCTAGAACATCTTGTATAGCAGTTTCTATGCTTAGGTCAATTTATATGACATCCGTGATATCTTGTCAATTGTCAGTTCTTTTTAAAGGTCTAATTCTAGTGCGTCTTGTATGTCAGTTTCAACACTGAAGTCATTTTCATGGTATACATGTATTTTATATGACTGTATCTATGCTGATGTCAGTTCCTATGTCATTTAATACATTTTTTTTCTACGTTGAAGTCAATTTTGTAATATGTTGTGAATAGGTTTCTATGGAGATGTTAGTTTCTATGAGACTTTGTGACACCGATTACTGTGTCATCTAGTGGTATAAGTTCTTGGTGTAGGCGGATTGTTAATGTCACTTTTTCCTATGCAAAAGATGGCAAACAAGATAATATCAATATTTATTTACAGTTTTAAACAGTCAAGATAGAGGTCCATCCTGAAAAACAACACATGGACGGATACGGTATGCAATGCTATCTTTATACTTATATTTCACTTTTTTTCTTTTTTTTTATCATTTGCATGTTTTTGTTGAAAACATACCTAATTTATTTGCGCTCTGTCAAACCCTATAGGAATTATTTCGGAAAGAACACCAACGGTTTATTCGTAGTTATATACAGCTCCCCTTAGAGAGCCGAAATTTGACAAGCAGATGTATCCGGAGTAACCGTTGCTGTTTGTTAATTACTTGTATCTGAAACATGTTAAAATTATTTATTTTTATGATAAAAAATTCATTGTATATAAACAATATGACGACAAGAAATAAGTGTCAATACACCATATTTGTTTGTACAATATGATGTATTGCAGCAAATTACTGTCTGTGTGTGCAAAAATGTCTTTATGTCCGTTCGTCCGTTTACCGTCTGTCTCTCTGTCTATCTACCTAGTGGTCTTCCTGTCTGTGCGTTCCTCCTTCTGTCTGTTTTTTTTTGTTTTTTTTTTGCAAAAAACTGTAGATAATTAAGTTAGCTTTGTGAGAACATCTTATTTTTTGTCTGTCCGTCTTTTGTCAGTCCTGATTTAATTCTATAAAATTTGAAGATGTATTTACTTTGAACTTTTTCAAACCATTGGTAACTCGTACTGTTTTACCATTGGTAACTCTTACTGTTTTGGGATGAATTGATCAAATAGGTTGATCAGTATCTAAAGAAAACTTCTATGGTGCTTCCAAGCAAAACGTTATCCACCAGGGATCATCTGACATGTGGAAACAGCACATGTTGAATTGCCACTTGTCTTACTTATGTTTTATCGTTAATTTTAACAGGTTCTGTTGTCATCCTTTGTTATTTCATTTTTAGCTCGACTATTCGCAGAATAATCTAGCTAATGCAGTCACCCATTTGTCGGCGTCGGCGTCGGCGTCGGCGTCCCTGTGGTTAAGTTTTTGTATGTAAGCTGGTATCTCCTTAACTACTGAAGGGAATGGATTGAAACTTCACACACTTGTTCTCTGTGATTATCTAAGATGATTGGCACAAGTCCCATAACTCTGGTTTGCTTTTTTTCATAATTATGCCCCTTTTTCGACTTAGAAATTCTTGGTTAAGTTTTTGTATGTAAGCTGGTATCTCCATAACTACTGAAGGGAATTAATTGACACTTCACACACTTGTTCTCTGGGATTATATAAGATGATTAGCACAAGTCCCAGAACTCTGATTTGCTTTTTTACATAATTGTGCCCCTTTTTCGACTTAGAAATTCTTGGTTAAGTTTTTGCGTGTAAGCTGGTATCTCCATAACTACTGAAGGGAATTAATTGACACTTCACACACTTGTTCTCTGTGATTATCTAAGATGATTGGCACAAGTCCCATAACTCTAATTTGCTTTTTAACATAATTATGCCCCTTTTTCGACTTAGAAATTCTTGGTTAAGTTTTTGCGTGTAAGCTGGTATCTCCATAACTACTGAAGGGAATGGATTGAAACTTCACACACTTGTTCTCTGTGATTATCTAAGATGATTGGTACAAGTCCCATAACTCTGATTTGCTTTTTTGCATAATTATGCCCCTTTTTCGACTCATGAATTCTTGGTTAAGTTTTTGCATGTAAGCTTGTATCTCCATAACTACTGAAGGGACTGTATTGAAACTTGAAGAGTTTGCACCTTTTCGGACAATTTTATGTATTCATATAGGTAAGCATTATTATACTTAATGAAACACCCTTGTGACAAATTTTCGAATAGTCGAGCGTTACTGTCCTCCGACAGTTCTTGTTTATTATTCGATTAATGGTGTGTACTTTACTGAATAGAGCTCAACTTTGCTACTCTCATTGGTGTGTATTTTACTGAATAGAGCTCAACTTTGGTATACTCTCATGGAAAGGATCCCTATAGGGTGTGACAGTGCTCCTCAAATAACAATATAGTCTCTGTACTGACTTTTGTTTGAACACCCCAGGAATATAAAAGTATGATTTTGTAAACATGTTTATATAATTGTCAGCGTATTTAGTCTATTATTGGCTAAGAGGACGTTTTGCAAAAACTTTTATGATAAAATGTTCTTTCTTTCTTTGTTCATTATTATAATGTAGAGGGCGATGACGGTTCTATAACTCATGATCGTTGATCATTACCATAGATAGATACAATTTTATTGTTTATCTTTCTCTGATTGTGGTTAATTTTCTTGATTTATTTACAGCTTCCCGTATGTATACTTTTATTTATTTTGCTTTATGTTTGTCTGACGCTTTCTGTGTATTATACAGATACTGCAGTGTTTAATAAAAGAGTATTGTGGTGTGTTCATAATATCAAAGTTTCACTGTATTCTGTTTCCAACACATGTAACTGTTACTCTAATAACTGTACAACTCTCATGTCTGTCACTTTTAATCATTAGATTGTGTGCAAAAGTAAATATCTATTTAATGCTTTACATTTCACATATGTGTTATGATAACACTGATATACATTACACATGTGTCGCATTATTATACAGATAACACATGTGCAGAAAACACATATGTAGCTATATGCGTCTCAGTATTCCATATTACACTCATGTGAAACAGTCTGCAATATAACATTTTTCGTTATCCCTCGAGAGTTATACATTATGTAAATTCAATAATCAAATTATCACGATAACGCATTACTCACAATTATCTTTCCGAAAAATAAATTATCATTATACATGTTATTTTTGACGTGAAGTTTAGTAAAAATATATATTAGTCACATTTCTTATATTTCATACTGGGAAAATGCGCACGAATTTACGAATATGTGACACAACAAACTGAACGTATATTCACAGTGTACTTTAAATAATTAATGTCATTATTTTATATAACATACGTCTGGCACTTTAAATCACATGTAACATATATATGTATGGTGAATAAATTATATGGCAAGGTTACATCAATGTTTAAATACATGTATTAGTTTTGCTATTCTAGAAAGCTTATCATAATACTATTTTGCAGAGAATTAGAAATATAACCACTATATGCTCGTGAAAATTCGGTATATTATGTAACTTTCCGTATATATTTATACTATATAAATAAAATATACGTCCCGATTACTAGCAATCACATGACCTTGTCATCTTACCTTTTTTCCAAATTTATTTTAGATGAGATAGCTGAATTTGCGCATAAAGTCTGAAATTTGCATAATGCTTAACGCTTGTAATAAATGCTGTAGAATAGTTTGTAGATTTGTTCCATGTTTTGTCAAGGCAATCTATTTTTTAATGATTAGCAATATTGTAAATTATTTAGTAGTATTCGAGAACGTAACTTGAGTCTGCAAACACTGCCATAATTGATATCATAATATTGATCTTTTACTATAAATACATGTATATACATGTAGGCCATTTTTTTAATTACCTTATAGTTTTTTCTTGAAGTCTATACACTGTTTCTTATTTATCGCTTGTCTGTAAGAAAAAGTTTATTTTTAAGCTCTGGGTGATTTTATAAAACTGTTGTTATAAAGTACTTGCGTGATATTAACAAAATATTACACAGAGGCATATAGTATTTTAGTTTTCAGTTGTTTTAGGAGATGTTGTCCATATCCATTCATGGATATTTCAAATCAACTATTTGAAATAGCACTAAAACTTATATAATCAAATAATAATTGTTCTCCTTTTTTATCTTAAACAAATTTTTGCTTTTAACAAAATAATCATTCATAATGTAAATTTATATAAAAACTTCTTTACTGTGTTCACACTTTATCAATACTAAATACTGATCTCGATATATCGATACATTTATTTCGATGTATCGATACATATACTTAAGAGTGTATCAATACTATAAACAATAACTAGAGTGTATCTATACTCTATAGTGTACACTGATAACAGTGATTTAGATACTATGATCAATAATTAACTTATTCTATAGTAGAACTGTATCTATATGTTACCGAATTTACAGTGACGCAGTATGTTACAATGAATTGACATTGCTGGCCCCATAGTGAGTGATTATAGTGTACATGATTCACAGTGTACTAATAATCTAATCGACATTTAGAGGTGTACTAAGGAGGAGTGTTTATGTTACACTGCTTGATCAGTGATCTTAAAGAATTACAAAAATTACAGTTGTATATAGTATAGTGCTATATTATATACATATTAAGGTTAACAATAATTCTATTTAACACTAATTAGCAGTTATCTAATTGGTTGAGGTGACTTATCAGTTTACTTTATACTTAACAGTGTATCAATACTATAAACAATAAGTTGAGTGTATCTATACTCTATAGTGTACACTGATAACAGTGTATCTATAATATGTACAATAATTACAGTGTATCTATATTGTTCACTGATAACAGTGTATCTATAGTATGTACAATAATTAGAGTGTATCTATAGTTGAGTGTATCTATAGTGTACACTGATTACAGTGTATCTATAGTATGTACAATAATTACAGTGTATCTATAGTTGAGTGTATCTATAGTGTACACTGATTACAGTGTAACTAATAATTCTATGTACAATATTTAGAGTGTATCTCTAGTTGAGTGTATCTATAGTGTAACTAATAATTCTATGTACAATTATTAGAGTGTATCTACAGTTGAGTGTATCTATAGTGTACATTGATTACAGTGTATCTATACTATGTACAATAATTAGAGTGTATCTATAGTAGAGTGTATCTATAGTGTACATTGATTACAGTGTATCTATACTTTGTACAATAATTAGAGTGTATCTATAGTTGAGTGTATCTATAGTGTACACTGATTACAGTGTAACTAATAATTCTATGTACAATAATTAGAGTGTATCTATAGTGTACACTGATAACAGTGTATCTATAGTATGTACAATAATTAGAGTGTATCTTTAGTGTACACTGATTACAGTGTATCTATAGTATGTACAATAATTACAGTGTATCTATATTGTACACTGATAACAGTGAATCTATAGTATGTACAATAATTAGAGTGTATCTATAGTGTACACTGATTACAGTGTATTTACAGTATGTAAAATAATTAGAGTGTATCTATAGTGTACACTAATTACAGAGTATCTATACTGTGTACAATAATTAGAGTGTATCTATAATGTACACTGATAACAGTGTATCTATAGTTTGTACAATAATTAGAGTGTATCTATAGTGTACACTGATAACAGTGTATCTATAGTATTACAATAATTAGAGTGTATCTATAGTGTACACTGATTACAGTGTATCTATAGTATTACAATAATTAGAGTGTATCTATAGCGTACACTGATAACAGTGTATCTATAGTATTACAATAATTAGAGTGTATCTATAGTGTACACTGATTACAGTGTATCTATAGTATGTACAATAATTACAGTGTATCTATAGTATGTACAATAATTACAGTGTATCTATAGTGTACAATAATTACAGAGTATATATACTATGTACAATAATTAGAGAGTATCTATAGTGTACAATAATTACAGTGTTTCTATAGTATGTACAATAATTACAGTGTATCTATAGTTGAGTGTATCTATAGTGTGCACTGATTACAGAGTTTCAATTCTATACACTGATTATTTTGCCTGCCATATACTGAAAACGTTTTCCTAATGTTTTGTATTACATGTATTTTTTTTTGTCTAGGAAAAGATGAACGGAATCAGCCGGATGGAGACATCGGTTGCTGTGGTTACGTTCTCATGTTTTTCTCCATCGTCATCTTGATTCTGTTTTTCCCTTTCTCTTTGGTCTGCTCACTGAAGGTAAGGAAAACTGTATCACATCGGTTTAGAGATAAATATATCGACAAATTGCGTTGATCTTATTATGTAATGATAAATAATTCTATTTATGCGTTTTCTCTATTGAAATACATATATAATATAAAGTTATTGTGGTCACCTCGCTATGTTGTAGTTGTTTGAATGTTAATATTTCTTGTTTTAACTGTGGATAGTTTACTATCCCTGGTTACTCCTGTTACAGCGATGATATTATATATAATGTCTAAAAACGAAAAACTGTGATATTCCATAGATTGTACAAGAATATGAGAGAGCTGTCATTTTCCGACTTGGTAGAGTAGTGTCTGGAGGGGCCAAGGGTCCAGGTATTACTTAATGCTTATTGTCTTTTCTAAAGTGCAATTGAAAAAATATTTAAACTGAATTCAATGATTCCTATTACAGCAAGACAAACATATGAAATGATAAAAAAAAATGAAAAGAAAAAAGACATAGGAGCGTTCAGATGTTCTTTACGACAATACGAATTCATATGTTCCTGTGGTCCATGAGTCAGTTAATAAGATTTGATAGTCGTATATATAAACTGCCATTACTTTAAATGCTTTAATTATGAATGAGTTAATATGATTTTGTTTAAGTCAGGCAAAAATTCTAAAAATGAAAACATCGATCAGCCTTTTTTTGTGTCGCCTTGAAAAGGTGACATATAGGGGTTACTTTTGTCGGCGGCGTCGGCGGCGTCTGTGTCGGCGGCGTCGTTGTCGTTGTCGGCGTCGGCGTCCCCTAAAGCTTGTCCGGAGCATAACTCAGTCACTATAAGTCTGATTGACTTCAAACTTGGTATGCATGCTTCTTTCAATAACCCGAAGTGCAGTGCACAAGGACCGGTACTCTGCAGTTCTTATTTTTTGAGTTATTGCCCTTTGTTAATTTTCATACTTTAATTTTGTCCGGGCCATTTCTCTTCAACTAAAAAAGCTATGGACTTGAAACTTCATAGGATGATAGATCTCATTAAGAAGAAGTGCAGTGCACAAGAACCGGTACTCTGCACTTCCTAATTTTTGAGTTATTGCCCTTTGTTAATTTTCATACTTAATTTTTGTCCGGGCCATTTCTCCTAATGTATAAAAGCCATGGACTTGAAACTTCATAGGATGATAGGTCTCATTAAGAAGAAGTGCATTGCACAAGAACAGGTACTCTGCATTTCTTATTTCTTGAGTTATTGCTCTTTGTTTATTTTCATACTTTAATTTTGTCCGGGCCATTTCTCCTTAAGTATAAAAGCTATGGACTTGAAACTTCATAGGATGATAGATCTCATTAAGAAGAAGTGCAGTGCACAAGAATCGGTACTCTGCATTTCTTAATTTTTGAGTTATGGCCCTTTGTTAATTTTCAAACTTAATTTTTGTCCAGGGCATTTCTCCGAAAGTATAAAAGTTATGGACTTGAAACTTCATAGGATGATATATCTCATTAAGAAAAAGTGCAGTGCATAAGAACTGATACTCTGCATTTCTTATTTTTTGAGTTATTGCCCTTTGTTGATTTTCTTACTTTATTTTTGTCCTGGTCATTTCTCCTCAAGTATGAAAGCTATGGACTTGAAACATCATAGAATGATAGATCTTATTGATAAGAAGTGCAGTGCACAGAAACTGCTGCTCTGCACTTATTATTTTTTGCCCTTTGTTATTTTTCATATTTCATTTTTGTCCTGGCCATTTCTCCTAAACTACATTGTTCACAAGGCGACACATCCGACTCGCGGAGTTCTAGTCTAGTATAAGATGTATTTACTATTTGTTTTTAGTTTTAACTTTTTGTTTTTAGAAAATAAATAACTGTTTATATATATGAAACTATTTGCAGGGTTATTTTTCCTGTTTCCATGTGTGGATACATTCAAGAGTGTCGATTTGAGAACATTTTCTTACGATATTCCACCACAAGAGGTAATGTTTTACTAGTAATATATAATTATATTAATATGTTGTTATTGTTTTAAATGTGCCGAGGATGTAACATAATGAGAGATCTTTTAATATCTTAGACAGTTATAACAAACTTTACACTTCTATCCAACCCAGAAACAACACACTAACAGTGGCCTTAATTGTAACTTTATAATCATATTTATTATAAAAAAATTTTAAGTTCATATTTTACTGGTTGGCATTGCATTAGGTTCATGCAATAACTTCTTATAGCATTCACGGATAAAGTACGGATAAATAATAATAATAATAAAGAATAATAATAAAATAAAAACAATATTTCTGATTATTTACTTACTACGTAACTAACTTAGTTTTTATAAGATAAATGATTACAGGCTTGTAGCCGTCTCATCTTGTCAATTAATTATGTGAATTATTTTATAACTGTGTCCGCGTTCATTAGTCTGGCCCGATGACTGACAAAATGAACAAATTACCAGAACAATGTCATCTTGTAGGGGTATTTTTTGTGTACATATACCTCTTTAGATTACTACATTTTATAATTATACATTTTAAAGTATTTTAGTGCAAAACCTTCATTACGTAAGAATGAAAAGTATTAAAATACATTTCAAATTATTCTTGAGAAGTATACGTACAATGCGACACTGACTATCACACATCAAATTGCGTAATATGTTTCAAAATATATAAGGTATATCATTGCAAGGTCGATCAAATACGGTTGTTTACTGATATGGGCCTTGAAGTTCATTAACTATCTCAAACTATTTTGGAAACTTGCCAACTATTCATGAATAAGATTATTTCTTAATGACGTAAAAAGGTGACTTATTTTACATATACTATGCCATATAATAATTTTTTGTTCGTTTTCCTTAAATATTAACACACGAATTTTTTATGTTTTAAAATATTCCATGCAATCAATTGCTAGTTATAAAGATTTATGACAGATAATATAATGAAATGTCTGACCAAGTTAAAATAAGGTCACATATTTTGTCTATGATACACAAATCTTTTTTATAGATTTAGGACAAAATTGAAAATAAATATATATTTAAGATAATAATTTTACTCCTCACTATTTTTTGTAACAGCCAGTGGAATTTATTCGACTGTTCATTCAAGTGTACTAATTCTGACTTAAAGTGTACCATGTGACTAAAACATTTGTACTGTAACATATAGGCAACAATTCTTTTTCACAGTCAGTAAAAAAAAAACTATAGAAACTGTGTCCCAATGTAGTATTTTGTTCGGGGTATTAAAATAAATAATACAAAGGTTTGTTAGTATGAGCAAAACTGTCATCCCTCGTTTAACTTAATTACCGTCGGTAAATTGTATGTTTGAGCATTATATATTTAATAGGGCAATTGGAAGTATGAACATTGATTACCGGGTATAACAAATATCCGACATTTCTTGTCATTGTTGTAAATCGTTAAATGACATTTTGTTTGCATTCAAATATTTGTTTTGTAAGAATGACTTTACGTTATGATATTTTGTTATGACAACGCCATCATAAACAAATTAGTTACTAAAGCTGTTAGTAAGATGTTAACCAGATGGAACTATATATGCTTTTATATTATGCATAAGATATAGTGATATGTCGATTGTCATAACTGCGCTATTGATTATGTTAACAAAATATGCACCGGGGTTTTAAATAGTTTCATACGGAAGCCTATATGGGACACCAGAATGAAGAGATGATGTCGGTTCATACAGGTTTCCGTAGTTTCTTCTGAATAAGTTTAATTACATTTTATCTAGTCGATAACTAACCGCTACATGTATCAATAACTAACCGCTACATGTATCAACAACTAACCTCTACATGTATCAACAACTTACCACTACATGTATCAACACCTAACCTCTACATGTATCAACAACTTACCACTACATGTATCAACAACTAACCTCTACATGTATCAACAACTTACCACTACATGTATCAACAACTTACCACTACATGTATCAACACCTAACCTCTACATGTATCAATAATTAACCACTACATGTATCAACAACTAACATTTACATGTATCAACAACTAACCACTACATGTATCAACAACTAACCTTTCAATATCAAACAACTAACTTTACATGTATCAACAAACTAACCGCTACATGTATCAATAATTAACCACTACATGTATCAATAATTAACCTCTACATGTATCAACAATTAACCTCTACATGTATCAACAATTAACCTCTACATGTATCAACAACTTACCACTACATATATCAACAACTTACCGCTACATGTATCAACAATTAACCTCTACATGTATCAATAACTAACCTCTACATGTATCAACAACTAACCTCTACATGTATCAATAACTAACCTCTACATGTATCAATAATTAACCACTACATGTATCAATAACTAACCTCTACATGTATCAATAATTAACCACTACATGTATCAACAATTAACCTCTACATGTATCAACAATTACCCACTATATACATGTGTATAATGACTAATGAGTGTGCGTCGTCGGATTCTAAATATACAATACAATACAATACAAATACTTTTATTGCAAATAAAACATTATTACAATGTTTATAGCAAAAACAAAACATATATATACATTCATGAAAATGAGATCTGACATGGAATGAAAAAAATAATAATAACATTATTTCCTGAAAGGTCTTATAAATATAAGAAAGCTATTTATCTAGCTCATGGAACTTCGGTGGTTCTACTCAGGTGCCCGTTTGTGCTTGAAATAATTCACATAGGGGAACATAATTTTATAGTCTTCCTCCACCAGTAAAGAAAGAAAGTCGCCATACGGCCTATACTGTGTTGGTGCAACGTAAAACCAAAATAATAATTATGAATGTAGAGTTGTACAGAATATAGCGAAAAAGATTAAACGTGATTTTAAAAATTATAGTTTTCATGGATTGTTTACTTCCAAAAATAAAACTTTCGTTATTTACTGTAATGAAGGCAAATTGCTTTGTACTTTAACGGCTTTTTTCAGATGTCATATGACTGTGCAAGGTTACTATGATCTAAAACCTATTTCCTCTATAGAAATAATAAATACTAGACTTTTCTTTAATATAGTTATGGTGTAAAGTAGAAAAGGTGAGCACCATACTTTTAAAGCATGTTTTACTTTACATTTTCAACAACATGCTTTATATACAAATGTATTAATAACGTACTATTCAAAATATTCTATATTTGGTACTACATCCATTCAAATATTGAAATAAGTGTAGGGTAACATTGATTATATGGATTTTTAAGTGTGTACTTTGTATAGATTAAAGTATGATCGCTCTGACGTCATAGATTGAAATACCAATAATTTATAACCTAAAAATACCGTATTGTAATTTAAGAGGTTATATTCGAGCTTTTAAGATTGCTTTGACATCACATGTTAAATACAATTTCAAAATCTAAATCTATAGACTTTTTGCAATGTCCTTGACGTAGGTCGTATATTCGATGTGATATATTTACAGATATATTTACATAATACAGTCTAGGAAATTCGTTCGATGTGACGTCACATCTTTTTTTTAACATGATTTTAAAGCAAACTTGACCTACCTTTTCAACTTTCAACATACATTAGCTGTATACCAATAATAGTAGGATTTAATGTAATCAAAAAAACTTTATACAATATAAAAAAGATCATAAGAGAATCCCACCATTAGTGGACCGGTTGTACAAGCGCTACAACTAGAATCTTGTTGATTCACTTTTCATACATTTTATATCTAAGTCAGACAAGAAATTTACAATGTATTCTCCCTCAATTTATGATAGATCTATATTTTATATTAATGTAGTACGTTTTTATGTCGAGTGTGAGAAAACGTCTTCATTTATTTTATTACATTTTTATTCGGCTGTAAATGTCATTATTATATTATACTAAATGGATTTTTCTGGTCAGATCCTATCACGTGACTCAGTGACGGTGGCCGTGGACGCTGTCATCTACGCCCGAATCTTTGACGCTACCATGTCGATCATCAATGTAGAGAATGGCATGCGTCGACTAAAACTTTGCGGCAACGACAGTACGTAATTGTGTTCGGGAACGAAACAGTTTATCAAGATTATTAAGTGGACAGAAGAATCTATTCACATGTCATGCAGGTTAGAGATGCACGAAATTATCGTGCAGTGTGTTAATAATGTTCATTAAAATGCATTCACAATATGTGAGTTAACCGCAAAACTAGATTTTTAAGAAGAGATACAAATGTATATGAACGTTTTGGAAAGCTGTGCTGATATTAAATTGCGGTTAAACTTTATTGTGAATGCATCACTAACGTCCTTTATATTGTAGAAAAAAGCAAGGAGATGACAGGGTCATGAAACATTAGGCTTTATGTCACAAAACAACAAAATCAAAACATCTTTTGTTTCTTCCTCTCTTTGATTATTAGATTCTAACAAAAGACTCTGTGACCGTAGCAGTTGACGCTGTAATTTACGCGCGCATTTTCGACGCCACTATATCAATCATTAACGTCGAAAATGCGCATGCGTCAACCAAACTTCTTACAGCTACAACTTTGAGAAATATAATGGGGACGAAAAGTTTGTCAGAACTATTGAGTGATCGGGAACAAATTGCTAGCGCAATGCAGGTATAATATGGACATGTGTGGTGTTTAACTTTACAACAACAACAACAAAAATCTTTTGACATATGTCTGTAAAAAGCGTCAGAAAATTGTTTTAAAACATTCTTTATATAGTAACGTTACATGCAAATTGTTCAGCTTAATTGTATTGTAACAATCTCTTTGAAAAAATTCTCCATTTGTTTCAATATCAAGATACCGATATCCAATGGGCTGAGAAGCGTATCTTGTCCTATGGTTGTAAATCTCCCAGTCTTTTGTAAAATAAGTAAATTCATAATACTTGTAAATCAGCAACAGCAATATAGGTTCCTAGCTAACATGGTATATATAGTAATCCACGTACACGGAACGAGTGACATTTACGGATTGTTTGGGAATATAGATTTCCATAATATCGATATAATTATACAAGTGCAACATTCCGTAAATAATAATTTATTGCTTTCAATGTTTGTTTATGTTGAGTTTATTGTTATCCCCCGCCGATGGAATCGTGAGGGGGATATAGTTTTGGCGTTGTCCGTCCGTCCTTCCGTCCATCCGTCCGTCCGAATTTCGTTTCCGGAGTAGTTCTCTGCAACTACTGGCCCGGAATTCAGCGAAACTTTATCATCAATATCAAGAGGAGATGCGCATATCGTCGGCTTGTTCCGGTCCGACCCTTTAACTCAGAGTTATGGCCTTTGATTAGTTATGTTGTATGCTTATAGAGTAAAAATCGTTTCCGGAGTAGTTCTCTGCAACTACTGGCTGGAATTCAGCATATCTACTTTTGTCATAAAACATTTCCATCAAATGGAATTAACCACAGGCGCTAGTCACATAATCAAATATTTTACATAATCGGTCTATATATGTATATAAAGATATCTTTATATACATATATAGACCGATTATGTAAAATATTTGATTATGTGACTAGCGCCTGTGGAATTAACAATATCGATATTCAAGAAAGTATTTTGCAACTAACAATTATCTTTTCAGGCATAATATTTTTGTATTTGATATCAATTATAAGATAAGTACTTTTGTTCTGTGCCAATAACATTAATGAATGTACGTTAAGTGTGCAATTTATAAATTGGTTTATAACTTGATTTTCATCGCGATATCTTACACGTTTTGGTAAATTGGATATCGTCGGTAAATTAAATAATTGATAAACATTGATTCCCGCATTGACCGTATAGTCAAAACTAAATTAATAACACTGCTGTAATAATTATATCCTGTTTGAATTTTGCAGACGACACTTGATGATGCGACAGATCCATGGGGAGTTAAAGTAGAGCGTGTTGAAGTGTATGTATGAATATTAATTATAACTACATTGTTGTATTTGAAAAAGTTTACCTTTTTCAATATTAGCCAGTGACGAATAATGTAAAAATAGTCAAACGATCCGTATTGTCTAGAAGTATATATATTCAACATATATTTGATCCTCTCTTCAGTTGTTTTCTTATCTGTTTCTATTTTGTTCTTAGTAAGAACATACTTATAAAGAATAAGTAATTTTTAAACTCACCTGTCACTTTGTGACATGGAGAGCTTTTGTGATCGCTTTTCGTCCGGCGTCCGTCCGTCCGTCTTCCGTAAACTTTTACTTTAAATGACATCTCCTCATAAACCACTAAGCCAATTTCATCCAAACTATACAGGAATGTTCCTTTGGTGGTCACCTTTGAAAATTGTTCAAAAAATTCCATTCCATGCAGAACTCTGGTTGCCATGGCAACCAAAAGAAAAAACTTTAAATAACTTCTTCTAAAAACCCAAAGAGCTAGAGCTTAGATATTTAGCATGAAACATCTTCTAGTTAGTGTCTACCAAGGTTGTTCAAATAAAAGCCCTGGGGTCAAAATTGGCCTCGCCCCAGGGGGTCATTGATTTTCCTATATGTATATAGTAAAAACTTAAAAAATCTTCTTTTAAAGAACCCAAAGAGCTAGAGCTAAGATATTTACCATGAAACATTTCATTTTCTAATGGATGTCTATCAAGTTTGTTCAAATAAGAGCCCCAGGGTCAAAATTGGCCCCGCCCCAGGGGGTCATTGATTTTCCCTATATGAATATAGTAAAAACTTAAAAATCTTCTTTTAAAGAACCCAAAGAGCTAGAGCTAAGATATTTAGCATGAAACATGTTCTAATGGATGTCTACCAAGTTTGTTCAAATAAGAGCCCTGGGGTCAAAATTGGCCCCGCTCCGGGGGACATTGATTTTCCTTATATGTGTATAGCAAAAACATAAAAATCTTCTTCGAAAAAAACCCGAATAGCTAGAGTTTAGATAATAAGCATGAAACATCTTCTAGTAAGTGTCTACAAAGATTGTTCAAATAAAAGCCCTGGGGTCAAAACTGGCCCTGCCCCAGGGGTGTCATTGTTTTTAAATATATGTGTTAGTAAAAAACTGAAAAAAATCTTCTTTTAAAAGATTTAACCCAACGAGCTAGACCTTTGATGTTTAGCATGAAACATCTTCTAATGGGTGTCTACCAAGTTTGTTCAAATAAAAGCCCTTGGGTTTAAACTGGCCCCGCTCCGGGGGACCTATATACTGGTGAGCGACTTCAGGGCCATCATGGCTCTCTTGTTGTTATAGTGATATAATTATGCAATCAATATCACATAAATAAGATGATTTTGGAAATATTGAAAAAATCCGGCCGAATAACTTGTTAGTCACAAATACCTAAACACTATTATAACAAGTTAATTATCCCTGATATGAAACTAATAGTAAGCAAATGTTGAGTTGAGCAGATTATTTGCGAGAACCATAGCCAAAATTTCCAAATGCTTGTTTGACATGTTAGGTAATTATAAAGCTAATATTTGGCAACCGCTTGGTGGACGCCTAATAGCCAATATAGAACAGTCTCGACACGAAACCAAGATTTACTAATCACGGATTTGTCGTCATAATTTATATTATGTTTACACCTGTGGGATGTCGGTGGTTCTACTCAGGAACGCACTCGAGCCTGAAATAATGGATAAATGAGCCCCTGAGGTCTTCTTTATCAAGTAAAGTATAAAACTCGCTATATGATCAATGTCAGAGTGAGTTAATTAAAACCTATCAAAACAAACTTTAATGTCTACATCCATATTTGTACAAGACATGACTGTATAGTCAATTACCAACAATGGATTTGTACATGATATAATTTAAGTTAGATCACGGTCAGTATATGAAATATGATAGACAATTAGGTCAAGTTTTACCTCTATCTTTGACATTTTCACTTGCAATAATACCATACAGTGTAATATGGTTAACTGAATTGTAGGAAGGATGTGCGACTTCCGGTACAGATGCAGAGGGCTATGGCTGCTGAGGCCGAGTCTGCACGTGAGGCTCGTGCTAAGGTAAGATGAATATTTTTTATAAGTTTAGTGAAATGAAATATTTATAAAACTGAATGTGTCTATTATATAGTTAGAGAGAGGGATGTATTTAAAAAGGTCTAAAAAGAGAAAAATTTTTTATTAAATTTTAAAGGGCCTATAGTTTGAAATGGACCTTTTAATTTTCTTGGGGAGTGGTTTCAGTTTCTTAAACGATTAACAATAAAGTTAAAATATCGTTTTTGCTCAAAAATAAATTTTGTAATGTGGTTTTTGGGATTTGCAAAAATTTTGTTTATATTGACATTCATATACATGACGATTTGGCAACCATCTTGTAGATTGCACACATTATTTATAAGAAGTTTGGCCTGAAGCATTTAAAAAAAATGATGTTCAAATTCCCTTTTCAGGTGATTGCCGCTGAAGGAGAAATGAAGGCTTCCCGATCCTTGAAGGAAGCCGCTGACGTCATGGCCGAGTCACCGGCAGCATTACAACTCCGTTATTTGCAGACTCTCAACTCTATCGCAGCCGAGAAGAACTCGACCATTATTTTCCCGCTCCCCATTGACATGCTTAGCAAAATGGTGCACAAATAAGAAGAAAAGCCGCCTTTGACATGATACATTTTAAAATTTCACGTTTGATATAAGACACTCTAAAAAAACGTTTAAAACTGATATTGGCTTTTAGGTGCCCAATGTTAAATGCTGTATTTATATTTTCATTTCAATTTTTAATGCCATTATATAGACAGGGAAACCCATATTATGAAATAAGTAAACAAGATTCGATCTACGTTTAGATATCAACTTAAAGTACTATTGCTGTGATCTTTTCTCAGTTCTTACATAATTTAATTGTATGATTATTGACAAAGCTGTATTTTATTGTGCACCTTTATATATTTTATCATAGCAAGATGTTGTAAACTCAACTCAGAGCAATTTTTATTTATAAGTTTGTAGTTATGTGTGTACTTCAGTGATATTACTCAAACTTTTTATATATTTGATTTTTTTCTTTCTTTTTCTTCTCCTATTTTGTAATTTCCTTATTGTAAATTTTAAACAATTGTTTAAATCGGCTCTGTCACACCCTACAGGGATTTTGAATAGAGTACCTTATCGGAGCTCTATATGTTGACTTGCACTCCATTCATGTAGGTGCATTATACGGCGAAAAGGAAACTTGTTTTTACGTGAGATATATATGTTATTTCACAATGGTCAATTGGTTCATAGTTTAATTTTGGACACAGGTTTCACTTTTGGCACATGTAAACATAGCACCTTTGAGGATGTTCATACATTTAATATTTTGACCCATTGATCCCTTTATATATAGTTATCTGCCGATCTAGACCAACTATTTTAATAAGTTTAAAAAATATATATCGTAATTTTTATAGAATTAAGTCAGGACTGACTTACAGATCGACTGACAAAAACAGCAACAACAAATAGACAGCTTTTCTCAAAAGACACATTCTCAGAATGAACTTAAACAACCATAAAATGTCATTTCTACAAAGACAAATATAGATACGCATAGCCTTAAGGCAGACAGATGGACGAACAGAGAGACCGACTGTAAACAGGCGGACATACATACAGACACATTGTAATAGACAGTGATTTGTTGCAAAATGAACGAAAAATCGTATTACAATTAAATCTAAACAGTATATATTTTCGTTATGCGTTTGTTTATGAAATGAATCTACTGTTCATTTCCCGGCACCTCGAGGTGCTCTATACGGCAAAGACTACGAATAATACACCACTTAGTTCTCTATACGACAATGACTTGGAATAATACACTACTTAGTTCTCCATACGGCAAATACTACGAATAGTGTACCACTTAGTGCTTTACTCAAACGATCCCTTTAGGGTGTGACACGGCTTCAATACAACTCAGTGTAGAAAAACAACAACAACAAAAAGGCAAAAAAAAATTTGGAAAAACTAATGTCTGGCAGTCTTTCTTTAAAAAAAACTAACAGTGAAATGAACATACATATAACTGACATGTACATATAAATAGATATAAATGCTATCAAATTTCGTGTGAACTGACTGTTTTAAGTTAATTGAGTTTATGCCTTAAGTACAAGAAACGTATATAGCCTTTGAAATATAGGACCGGTACCATATTTCTGTATACAAGTGGTACATATATATGCATGTTGAATGTATATTGAACAATAATTTGGTAAAAATTATACTCATAAATTTGTAATTAAGAGGAAAGTTATTGTCATTAAAGTGATGTAACTACCTCTGTTTTATTTTACATTTTATAAATGTATACAACTCTACTCTTTTTTATGAATATTTTATGTAGTGCCACTGTTGTTTTTTTTATATAAAAATCTTTGAAAATAAAACAAAATGTTTATTGTATTTACATTATACTTGTAGTAGTATTACTTTTAGTTAATAGATCGATTGATTGATTTATTTGTTGATTTGCCATGTATATATAGAATAATTATTATATTAATTGTTGATGCCTTAACAGGGGATAATTGACAGGTTACTCGTATAGCATATAAAATGTTTTAGATACTGTTTTAAAACGTTTAAAACATAGTTTCTGGACTAACTTCTTCTAAAATGAAATCACGAATGTGTTCAGAAAAGGTTGATGCATCTAAAAAGCAAAAAAATCTCATTTAAGGTATTTTTAGTGATAATTGACTACGTTGTCACCTTAAGAAAACTTGAAACTGGAGGTGAGCATATTAGTTTTCCCGGTTCAAACATAATGCAAAATTATACATATTTCGAGACAGCAATCGTAACAATAGCATCTTTCATTATTATGACCCCTTTTCAAAGAAACATTTTTGTGACCCCTTTTCAAAGAAATGTTTTTGTGACCCCTTTTCAAAGAAACATTATTATGACCCTTTTTATAGAAACATTATTATAACCCTTTTCAAAGAAACACGCTTATATGACCCTTTCAAAGAAACGTTATAATGGCCTTTTTCAAAGAAACATTATTTTGAACCCTTTTTTAAAACAGAAAGGGAGTGCATTGCTTTGCAAATGTTTATTGTCGGTCGTTAAACAGTTCGTTAATGCTCAAAAACCATTCAGTTCGTAATATTCAAACTAAATATGAGAATCACAAGACCATTTATATTATTTTGGACACCGGTGCATGAAGGTCTGAGTCACAGTGATATTGAATGTAAAAATCTTTTCCGTGCATTAGTAAGAGAACCATTGGATTACATACAATAAAACTGAGACCACATTTGATTTTGTACGCCTATATGTAAAGGTTTAGTTCAAAGAGACCCTGGTTGTACAAACTTTCCTCCAACAACTGAAGTCTACTATAATATAACACATGAATAGTGGTACATTGTATATCTATTCTTACATTGAAATATACATGTAATTCTATTGAGAAAATGAATTAAAATTTGAATATGAACATTTATGATAGTTATTGGCATAGTTATAGGCATGCACTAGGGGCATTTGGTTGTCAATATAACTGTACAAATTTGATTTGACCCAAGTGGTTTTTTCTTTGATTAGCTGGAGACATATCTAAATTGCCCAGAATAAAGGTTTGTAAATCTTTTTATAGTGTTTTCAGATATAAGAAAAGTAATGATCATCGTGAAGTTATTCATTTTGTTATCCTATAGTTGCATGATACAATGTAATTGGAAACTACATACGTGTATATACATTACAGGTTCTTGCAAAGTGAAAATGATAATAATAATAAATAATAAAAAGAATAATAGTAATAAAAATGATAATAATGAAAGTCACTAATTTTGTATTATTTTGCACTACAGATAACTAAAATTGTTTAGATTACAGTAAACCTACTTTTCTGAAAAGATAAGTATATACATTGTTTTCTTATTCATGAACACTTACGTGATTCATGATGATTTTACTCTGTGAAACTTATGTCTACTAATTACACATTTAAGGTTGGCGGAGTGGACATCAGTGCTTTTTTGACATCGAAAATATATGTATATATTACTTTAAATGTTGGTTTAATGCCCTCGGGTTTATTCTTCGGTGTAAAAAAAGAAAAACGGAGTAGAACACAACATTCAAAACATTTCTAATTATAATTTATTTAACGTTTATTAAATAAGCATTGAAACTTCTTTGAAACTATTTAACAATGGTTTAAATTTATATATCTGTACTCACGTGATTTCAGATAACTGTCATACACTATGCATATACAGAATAACAATACATGTATTTTACAGAATTATTATGCTACGATGAAATGATTCACATATACATTTTTAAAACAGTCACTATAACAAGTACATTATGAGCATCATGCAATAGTTAATAACGTAAATTTATTTTATGCTTTTCAGTGGATTACTGATTTATCCGTGAAAATTATATTTGGTAATTTCACAGTGAAAATTATCAAAATATAATTTCACTCTTTTCAATGACGAAACTACTTTTTTAAGATTTTCCCCATGTGGTACCTCAATTTTATTTTTGCTGACAATTCTGACAATGTCAGGCTGTTTAAAGAAAAAGCAAAACTGAAATTGATAAATAACTTAAATGTCAAAAGTAATAAAAAGAAGAAAACTTACTTCTATTCATTCAAATTCATTGAAATTCCAATCACCAAATTTCGTTTTTTTTGTTTTCATTTTGACAGTCTCAAAAATACATTCCTTCCCCATGCAAAAACTGCTCTTGATGACATTTGGGCATATTAAAGTATCCTACGAGCAATAACTGCCGTATGCTTTATGAAAAATTGAAAGCATTGACAGCCATAACTCGAAGAATAAGTTAAATCAACCCAGCGTTCTTGAGCAGGTTTCCAAGTTTTCCATTTTCCTAGCTCCTTTTCTGAATGTTTTCACATCTGTCAACACTTATTTTTTGTCTGTTACAATCCTCAAATAAGTTTTCTTTCTTTTAAAAATGTGTATGACTAACAAATCCAAATTATATCCCTCTGAATCTTACACAATTATTTTCCTCCCATGAAATACACAACTTTAAAAAAATGGCTGCCGCTTACAATTTACAAAGCCAGGTCTAATATAAATTCGCACTAAGTAACAGAAATATGGATGGATGGTTGGACTTTTTCTCCTACAAGAATTGTTTGTTTTTATTATCAAAACAAGCGATCATTCATATTTTTTTAATAAAATTAATAAATATCACCGTCATTTAATGTTGATTGGCGGACTTATTTTTCAGCTCAAGACTTCTTTTTTTTAATGAGAAATTCCGAATAAATGGGGGCTCTCAATGGGGGAAACAGTTTTAATATTAACGTTAAAATTATGGAAATTTCGTTTTAACTTGTTTTTTAAGCATAAAATAAAAAGAAAATTTGTCTGTTTGTTGTGTAAGATGTAATTTTATTTCATCTCGTGAACTTTAAAAACAGTATTCTCACTCGTGGCTTCGCCACTCGTAAGAATACTGTTTTTAAAGCCCACTCGATGAAATAAAATTTCATCTTACACACAAACAAACAAATATCCTCTATATATTCAGCATGTTATATTCAGTTACATTACCATAAAGTTATAATTATTTAAATTGCATTTTCCAACTTTTAGTTAAAATCGGCTTTAAATCCCTAAAAAGACATTGCTACGAGACAGACACGTATAATTCTGCATGGTTACATAAAGAACACTTCGTCGTGAACATGATGAAGTGTAGGGTCCTCCCTTTCATTTTCATTAAGTTCAGTATGAAAAGTCAAAGTTTATATTACATAGCTCCTATCTTATATATGTATACAACATTCATGTATATTACATTATAATGAAGGATTTATAACATGTTGTACGCATTTTGTTAGCTAATCTTGATTTATCATTATTATTATGACACGGATAAAACAAATATTTATCCAAAACACAAAAGACAGAAAAACACGTTCAAATAATCTCTCAATTACAGGTAATATCTAAAAACAAAAACTAAAATGAGTTTCTTCTATTATACGTTTCCTACGTGGTACTTAAATACACATATCTGAAATATTTTCTTTCTCTCCAAAGGTTGTAATGCTTTTCTTTGTTCAAAATGTAGATTTTTAGTACCTACAATCGGTCATCTGCTGATTGTTGAAGAGAAATCAAAGGCTCACCGGACTTAGCGGACTGTGCACCGGCTAGAGCCCCAGATAATCGACCGAGCGTCTGTTTGGCAGCAGACGAAATTAAGTTTTCTGGTAATGGAAATATGATGGTATGATTTTGTTCCTCGGCGACACTTTGTAACGTCTGCAGGTAACGTAACTGTAGGGACGCCGGCGTCTCAGCCAGGACGTCTGCTGCTTCCTTGAGTGAGCGGGAGGCTTTCAATTCACCCTCGGCAGATACAACCTGTAATGTTTTCAAACGTTACACTAAATGAATATTTTCATCAGTTTCAATTCTGTCAGATAATGGTGTTTACTTAACACAAATAGAATAACCTTGTATTTAAATAGTATCCGAAATGAATCAGCGTGATCTAGTTTTTCATGTTAAATATAATTTGTTTCATTTGTTATCACTGGGAAAAAAACTATAATGTAATCTGGACAGATAATTAATGGTGTAAAGTACAAGTATCTAACAAAACAATTCATACTATGATCCTACATGAGTAATCATCAAAATAAAGTTTTATATATAAAGCTAGAGAACGAGAGGCTATATATAAAGCGAACCAGAAGCGAACTTAAAAGCATTTCTGGGACAAGTTCAATATTGATAAGGCAATGTTGTTTCTTTTATGGCATGTTTAATCCTGCCGATACCGACAAATCAGTGACTTTACAAACACGACGGCATGCCATTTGATATCAAACGTAAATTATGTAACATAAAGAAAACCGCTATGGTAATAAATCTATGTATATATTATAAGGTTATAATTATATTCAATGTCCCAAGTATAAACAGAAATCTTATATCACCCGAATCTATACGAGGAGCATACAAGGGAACAGACGTTTATATACATGACCATATAACCTGTCACTGTATAAAACGACACCACTTACAATGTATATATTTGATTCAAATAACAATAATACTATACATTTACAGCAGCTATGTTTATTGACAATATAAACATATGTATGTGAAATGGATATCCACACTACAAAAAATATTGGACTGGAAACATGCGGGCTATTAAATTAATTATATATGGGGTTTAAACAATTTTAACCATCATACTATTTCCGAGCTTTACAAAAGCAATCGCATTGCCATTATCAGTAACAATAGAATACCGATGTTATACCATGATAGGCAGTGGTCAATAGTATTAATATATGACCAGCAGACTCTAAATTGTTGGCGGAGTATTTTTAATAATTTATTTATGAACATTTCCATTGTTTAAAAGTGGCAGGTACATAAGATATATATCGACTATGGTCCTAAGGCTAAACACCACTAAATGCTATGAATGAATACCTTAGCACGAGCTTCACGTGTCGATTCTGCTTCCGCCGCCATAGCTCTCTGCATCTGTACCGGAAGTCGGACATCTTTGCTGCAGTTACAAAGCAATGGTAGTTTATCATATTTGTTTTATAAATAAGTAAAAGACGATGAGTATATTAAAAATATATATCTAGAGTTGAGATTTATAAATACATGCACGATGCCTCATTTGAAACTCCATTATACTTTCTGGCATTTAGCGTTATATGACCCAACCTGTGTTTTATATGTTATAATATTAATAAAATAAATATCAGATCAGGTTTAAACGAAGGAAATTGAAGTTTTATGTCACTGAAAGTCAGTTTTGACCTATAAAATCCGCGCAATTTGGTAGTAGAGATTGTTTTTACATAGAAGTAAATGGTCAGTATTTTATATATTAAAACACCAATAAAGCAAAAACTTGTGCGGTCATAAGATAATATGGTATTCTCTTTAATCTATGGAAGTTAAGACATACATTTCAACTCTTTCAACTTTAACACCCCAGTGTTCTGTGGCCTTATCCAATGTATCCTGTAGAAAAGAAGAAAATCTCGCAGGTCAATAAAACAAACTTTCCTTGGTTCTTCTTTATCACAACACAATTTGTATATGTTTAATTCTTAAACAAGTATCATCACAATCAAGTTATATCATTTAAATATAAAGAATTACGTTTACTAGCGTTTACTAGCGAACTAGTTTAAAGGCAGCATTCTGATAGACTTGTAAAGAGCCGGAGAATGCTTAACATTATAGTAAACTGTCTGTTTAGGAAATGTTTTGAAAATTAAGAGTGTGATGTTAGATTTGTCTTTCTAGTAAAATAAAATGTGTATAAAGTATGTTCACATGTACCTTCATAACCCCATCAATTCGCTCACGATCAGACAGTAGCTCAGACAGACCAACCGTGCCCACAACTGTCCTTAAAGTTGTCGCCCCTAGAAGATTTGTTGATGCACGTGCATTTAGAATATTGACCACTGACTTCGTAGCATCACACACACGTGCATAAATAACAGCATCCACGACACACGTGACTGAATCTTTTGTTAAAATCTACAAACATAGTATGTGTAGTTTAATACATTTCAGTGTGATTAAAAACCTTTGCAATTTTTTAATCATAAAAAGTGTTAGATAATCCAGCCTCTACTGTTTAATTTCGTAAGCAAAGAACACTTTAAGATTAATTTGATCAGCATTTGTTAAGAAATTTAGAAAATAACTTATAGTTAATTATTATAGTACTAAAGCAAAGTTGTGCATGACAGGTGAAAGATGGAAATCGGTTTCTTTCTTCCGCTATTCCAGCAGTGTCCTGGGTTAGGTGACTGGTGCATCAATATTTGTTATTCTTCATTAAAGATCAACTTAACTGAAAATTTAAGTCAGAGAAAGGGAAGCAACGAGATTGTACTTTCATTTGGTATATTGTCGTCTGACAGCTCGGGGTGTGTACATGAATTTTCATTTTGTAAACTCTTCACCTATGTATCATCACGATCAAGACTTTATTCAGCATAAGATAAAATATGCATTGATTATATTGTCCTTGTCTCACGTTTGATCACTTTGTTTTGTAATTTCCGACGACAGTTTTGGCCTATTTTCTACTATTGTGCGTAGTAATATTATATACATGTATGTAAATGTAAGAACGTACCTCTTGTGGCGGAATGTTAAAGTTAAATGTACGAAGATCAACCTTCACAAAATTATCGGCACATGGTAACAGGAAAAACAGACCTTAAATACAGAAATGACAAAAAATAACACACGAAACATACTAAAACTACCATTACGTGAAAAAAATATATACCTAAATTACCCTTTCCAAAAACGCGCTGTCTTTACTCAAGCCATCTATTATATTTGAAATTAAACTACATATGTAACAAAGGGCAACAGATAGTCCAAAATTTAATGTCAGTTAAGTACGTTTTCGGTGCATTTTACCTCTGTTAGGAGAATGGTTGAAGGGCCAATGATATGAGTTGAATCCAGTTAGGAAGGGGAAATAAAGAGAATATTATGAAACAGTAAAATCACCATCATCATTTCATACTTCAAAGAAATGTCGATAACTTAAATTAAAATGGATCTAGTGGGGAGGATATGTTTTCAGAAATAGGCAAAATACATAGTGTTTGAACATCGGAATGGGGCAAAATTTCGGCCTAAAAAACAAAAATTGCGCCTAAAAATATTGGGGATATTTAAAAGTAAAAATGAATAGAGTGTAAGCAGATGACAAACCTGGTGTATGCATGCCTAAAATGACAGATGACACACCTAGCGTATGCATGCTTAAAATGACAGATGACAAAACTGGCGTATGCATGCCTAAATGGCAGATGACACACCTGGTGTATGCATGCCTAAAATAACAAAAGTAATTGACTATACCTGGTCCTTGTGCACGTGAAGATTTGATTCTACCAAGTCGGAATATAACTGCTCTTTCATACTCTTGTACAACCTGATTAATCAAAGTATATATATAATGATGGTTAGATGATGACCGTATTAGTCAGTCGAATATGTCTGTAACTACATGTATATTGTTAAGATAAAGTGGTCTTTGTGAATAAACTCTTACATAGGGGAAATTTGCTCAATTTGCTCAAAAAGGAAATTCAAACGTAAACTTGGATACTTTCACGCGAAGAAACTTTGCATAAGCTCACAGAATCAGTGGTTCGTGCTCACGTGCCCGCGTGTGTCTAAAATAATACTGGAAGCATGATATGACGTGTTCCTCTTAAAATAAAGCTAACAAGCCGCAATAACATCAAAATTGTTTAAGTGTAGCTAAAATCCATCAAAATATGATATGATTTAAATTCAAACTCAAAAAAGTTCTTACTTTGAGGCACCAGAGTAGTGAGAATGGAAATGTAATGATCACCAAGACGTATGACAGACCAATTAGTACATAACCACAACAACCAATATCATAGTCCTCATTCCTCTCACCATCAACTACAAAATATACATGTATATTTATATATGTTTAAATGAACATAATAGAATAACTTAAATAAGAATGGTCGTTGGGCAAAGACAAATGCATCCCTCCATCCGAAGACGGGCTTGGTAAAGGAACCATAACATTTTACTTACAACAAAAACACTTTCATAAATTCTTAGTATGCTCAGTTGCTTCAAAAAACGCATCTGTAAATGAATGAAAGAGAAATGACAAAATCCCATAATTCTGCACATTTCTTGCAGTCGTTTAAATATTAATATGAGGCGTCCGCGGCCGAGTGGTTAAGGTCTTGGTCGAATCCCGAAAGGGACTTGTATAATTTCATGTGATGAAACTGTCAAGCTAGCTCACGGAACGTCGGTGGTTCTACTCAAGTGCCCGTTCATGCGTGAAATAATACACAGAAGGGCACCTGAGGTTCTCTTCCACCAGTAAAGCTGGAAAGTCGCCATGACCCATACTGTGCTGGTCCCATGTAAAACCAAAAAAATGAATATTAATATATTATAGAAGATAGATTCATTAATAAATCCATATCATACAACAAAACGAGATTATTATACATTGTTGAGTACAATACTGAACTATATTGAACGAATCCACAGCTGTCAAAGCTATATTGGACGAGGCCAGTATTGTTCTCAATCATGTAAAAGTAAACGATTTGTTTATTTCACACCATCATTTTTTTAACATTTTGACAGAACTTTGTCACTTCAATTACAATAAGGATTTGATAAGAAATATTTAAAAAACGATACTATATTGGGTGTAATATGGATTTGATATGGGTTCTTTGGATTCTGGTAATGGAAACAAGGCTAGATTGATAAGAATGGCTCCAATAATGATTTATATTGGAACACAATGTGGTGAAAATGCTAAAAGTGCATTGGTTATATTTTATAAGATGTGAAATAATATAGTTTAATTCGAGACTCATGCAAAGTTAAACTGTTTTGGAAGACTATCAATCTAGCTCTGATATAGTTCTTGAACAATAGATAAAATTATGTTACAATTTTGACGCAGGATGCTGTTCTAACTTAGCTGTTGTCGGAGAAAGTTTCATGCAATCCTGTGAGATATGAATGAGATAAGAAGCATTCAAGTTACTGTAGTAGTGAACGTCTGTACTTTTTGAGGCGGTGTTTTGTTTAAGTTTAATGTAAATATATTAATATAATGTTAATATTTCACGTAAAAGATAAGACTTGTGCTAGGGTTTTCTTTTCTGGATAACAGTTGCACTTACATAATCGTTCACGAGGAGAGTTAGGTCTGTGCAGTTCATAGTGTTTCTCCGCCATCTTTCAGAAACCTCCTGATTTATATACAAAAAGAAAAGTGTCAGAAGCAAGTTGGGCTAAATATAGAAGTGGAGTTGCAGCAGTATGTATACACATAGTAAAATCACAGGCAATGGCTCATTTATGTGGTCATTTGTTGCTGTACCATTATGACGTTTGAATACTTAAGGGGAATATTTAAGGCAACAAATGAACCAAACAAATGAGACGAATATTTGCACGTGACATGAGCAAGTGACAGCATCCGTTTACAAAAAGATAAAATTACACCGATTTAATCGAATAAAGCCATTTTATATGCTTTCATTTATTTTTAAGTTTTTTTGTGGGTTTTATTTTTTCACACAATAGAGATACTTGTTGATACAAGTTGAAATAGTAGACATTTATGCATTAACATTAGCACAATAATGCATTTACATAACGCATTATTGATTAAGATTTTATTTTGCCATTTGTTGTAATTACTATTATCTTTGTTTAGAAAAAATCGAGACAAAAAAACAACACTTTGCTGTCTGTCATTTGCCCACATTTTCGTCGTGCAATAAAACATGCCGTTTTCCCGTGCATAATTACTAGTATATAGGAAAGTATGAAACAGTTGTTATACATACATAAACGCTTGTGACCCATTTCGGTCGCCATTTTGTTTTGATGTTCCGATTGCTTCTAGATATTCTAAAAATTATAAATTTTCACATTTAAAGCTAACCATCGTAAGCGTTGTTAATAAAGACTTTTCTATTCATCAAGAGTGGACACATGGTCAAGTTCCAGAGTTAAACCAAGAGAGACTTAGTTCATGTGATGGTGTAATGACTTAATTGTGAATAACCAACTTGTTAATACTGCCGGAATAGAAATTGAGTCCCTTTACACACTAATTCAAGATATAAAATACCTTCTGACTGTAACTGATTAAACAGTAGTGGCTGGACGAACACTTCATTTCGAAATGAAATATTTGTATTCCTGTGTTGACAACCCTCATTGATTAAATAGAACAAAGTGACCCCCAAATAAGGACCACTCGTCTATACAGGTCATGTTCAGTCTTAGGTGTTCACAGGCTTCACTGCTACTTTCTTACGCTATCTATTCTTTTTTTAACTAAAATTTAGTCACGATCGGCAAAATTTAAGGCACTTAAGCTATGATTTGATGTGGTTTTTTAAACAATTTCAGAATTATACTAAAAAAGAAGTTATTTGTTATGTTGTTTTTGCCTAAAAACCCCATCTTAGTGACAATGGTGACTATGGTGATAAAGTTTCACAAAACTTATCCAAAATTTTTGTATTTTGTTCAACAACAATTTCACAACAAATGCCACTTGATAAAAGGAAGAATGGAACATTTAAAGCGAAATTGAGGCGAGCTTGGTTATGACATGATTTAACTTCCCTAAATCTCGAAATGTTCTTTTCTTTCCTTTTTCGTGATGAAGACTGTACGTGTAATATATATGGTGGTTGATTTGGTACATTGCGCGTTGCGTTGTCCATAGCGACAACGCAACCCATATCGTTATCGCCTTTTCTTCTTGTCGCTAGCGACAACACGACAAAGCGCCAAACGGCGCGTTATCACGCTGTCGTCTTGTCCTGTCTTTAGCGAAGCACGCCAAACGGCGCGTTGTCGTGCGGCACGTTGTCGCGATGTCGCCCTGTCACCCTTATAAGCCAATCCTTCGATTTGAACCAGCGACAATTTGACATCGCGACAACACGTCGCACGACAACGCGTACATTGTTAGCGACACGCCGTTTGGCGCTTTGTCCTGTTGTCGCTAGCGCCAACACGACGCACAAAAGCGTTCCAAATCAGTCACCATAGATATAACATGTTATAGTATTTATTAAGTTTGAAGATTCGTTTAACAGTTTAAGAAAATGTTTTCCTATTTAACTCTACTCTCTAGTGTATTGACAATATCCGCTTTCTTTTCAAGGACATTCATCACTTGACTAAAAGATAAACACGTCCCATATAAACAGTTCACTAGTACTTCCCCACATGAAAACAACAGAAAATGTTAAATGTAAAACATATGTATGTATGTCAGCTCAATGTCTGTAAAATGGAAACTCTTTGAAAAAGAAGTAAACAAAAAGAGTAATGACATAATGTGGTCTCTTAAAAATGTTTGTGGTACTAGTAGATGATTGGCCAATAACTTACTAAACATTTATGTATAATAACTTTAATTCTATAGCATCGTGTATAGTAGTCAGAAATGGTCTTTATGAACTGAAACTTTATTATATGGTGGTCTAATGAATTCAAATTAAATGATGTCCATGGTCATGTGTAGGCAATATGCATAAAATCACGGACACTATCTGCTTCCTGAATGATTAAACTGTGCCCTTTTGTCGAAATGTAGCAGAAAACAAAATGTAAAAAATGTCTTACCTCGTCTATTTCAAATCATTAATTCGCTATGGTACATTTGTTAAGTTTTATATTATACATTAAAGTGTGTGGAAATCCTGTTTGATTTATCTACTATATTTTTATTTAGATTCAGTTTTTCATACTCATGTGACCGATTATTTTTATCTTCAATGTCACGGTGTTTACATGTTATCTCCCCTAGTTTACAAGTATATTATACGTTACTATGGTTTATATGATACACAAATAACTGCTTATGAACGCTCAATTGATACAACAATGGATTAACTTGTTTAAATATGAAATATTCCGTTCAAAGTTTTTCGAGGATTTCAACCAGAATAAAGTCTTGTCAGACTATACGGATGTGCAGGCTGGCCTAGCTGTATACTGGCACATTTGGTTCCAGCACGATATGTCGTGCAATACATTTCATTGTCAAGTGATGTATGGTAAATGGTGTATGCGTAATTATACAGCACGATTTCAGAAACCGGAAACATTCATTACCCATTACATATGATCAAATGAAAGCAACACCCATGGCTGGAGCGAACTTGGAGTAATTTCTTTGCCACCTTCAAATTTATTTCGTCTGTTCAACCCAACATGGCAGAATTTTATGTGTTCCCTGGCGAAACAAATCTTGCTGTTCTGCATGTTATTCTTTGTTCAGGCACGTACAAATGTTTAGAATACACATTTACAATAAACTAAAGCTACAGCTCTAATCCGCCATTCGTTTCATTATCTGTTCACATCAATATTGACATATAGGGGTGTCGATAAGTCTTATATAAAACATACTATATATAATATCACCTAAATCTTTTACAACCTGAACCATTTCTCAAATGTACCATTCACTATATCACAGCATAATAGCGCAGAGGTAGAGTGCTCGCTTCGTGAGTCTAGAGATCCCGGGTCCGAATCCTGAACAAAGCATTTTTTAATTTGTTTGTATTTTTGTTTTAGATATTTTTCTTATATATTATATTATTATATTTAACAGCTGAACTTTAGTTCCTTGTGAATTTCGTACACTATTTGAAACATTAAGTTTTAAATAGATTCGCATCCATCAGGGTTAAAACCAACTGAATAATAAGCAATGTATAGAACGTGGCAGGTGACATAACAGTTCAAAATGAATAAAATATTATTTAAAAATGTTTGATAACTGTTAAAGAATTCAAAAACATAATATTTTACCTGTTCACATTCAACTTTCAGTTGTGCAAACAATCGCATTGATGAATATGAAACTAAGTCACGATAATACCTTTATAAAAGAGAAAATGAGCAATGAGGCAAACTATACAATATTTGGGAAGTTATGAAATAATGTGCGCCTTTGCAGACATCACTTTCATATCTTGAACGCTCTAACCACTACGGTTATCGGACTTACGTGTCCATATCCACTTTTATTGTATTTTATTGTAAAAAGGGGAGAAAAAATGCAAAATCATAAATGAATACCTTGCACGACTTATATCATAATGGTTAAGACCGAATCGTGTTCGACTACACTAAACAGGCCTATCAATCTAGGGGACACTATTCAATTAATGAATTTTAAATTTTGTCAGAGTAATACATCCATACAGTCGTACATGGGATATACTTAACCAGAGCTGATATGCACTAGCATCAGGGTATTTTCAAAACACCCGATAATTCATTTGAGAGAACAAAGCCAAAAATCAAACCTGTCATTAAAATGTACGGTACTGTGAGGTTTATGTTTTCTCTCTCTCTCTCTCTTTTAATCTTCCGTTACAATAGAATACTAACGAATACTGATTTGCAAGGAAATGACGGTCTTTCAAACATCAGGGTCTGCGGGTTTGGATTAGGGTTGTTCTTATCACAAAATTCTTTTTAAGGTCTCGTGCAGTGTCAAATACACGATATAAAGGGTATGTGAGTCTATTAAAAACTGTATTGCTTTGTACCACGCGAATTTTATGCCACTTCCTTTGAAATATATGTACATATATCTCGGATAAATCCATAAGCTTTTAAGAACACAAACTATTTGCAATACTTGACAACGTGAATCATTACTACTTTTTAAATTTTATTTTCACATAACTCGAATGACTTTCTTTACTTTAATATACATGTATCTTTCTTAACAAAATTTAAGTAACAAAATTGTCGGTAAATTTTTTTAAAAACTAGTCCCCCTAAACAAGGGTATCATGAAAATATCTAAGTTTTAGCCCTTTAAAATTTTTTAAACAACATGTTTATTTTACATTTTAAAAAAAACCCTTTTAAGAACTAAGCCTTTTTTAAAATTTTGAATAACTTTGGAAAAGGGAAACCTTAAAAAATTTTTAAAAGGGCGCACAACGACGTACATGGACCCCAAAAAACGCTCGCCATGTTCAGGAGAGTAAAATCTATAAAAAAAAAAAACAACTTATGAATCAAAAAATACATTCTACACGTTTCCATATAATACAATTGTACTTACATTGTATATTTGCAGACTAGATACTAAACAACATTTATAATACTGCAAGTTTGTAACGTGTTTTTCATTCGATAATCGTGACTTTTGTACATTTGCTGTCAATTTATGGAGAAATCTCACTTTTTTATCTGTAAAAAACTCTAAAAGTATTAAAAAAAATATTTCAAGTAGAAATAGCACTTCTCACTGCATTGAAATTTGAGTAAAACCACGAATTTAATCAAAAATCGTGAATAGAAACATTGTAAAAACGTTTAAATGATAAACGCACATTCAACATAAAAAACAAAACCAAAGACAAAAACACCCAAAGTATCAGTTACACCAGTGGATAAAATTTTAACATAACTATAAAACATTGTCAATCTATGACAGAAAGTATAATTAAATTAAATTTATCTATTTTAGCCTCCCTGTATGACTCCTCCATTAAAGACTACATGTCTCTGCTTTATCAAAGATAACAATACATGTATGTTATATTTATTATTTGATGTAACAGAAATGGTGTATCAGAAAAGAACTACAAACTGGGGACTATGGTCCCGCTTTTCTTCCAGAGCAAAAAAATCTCGAGATAGATTATGATGTAGAAACATTATATGTAAAGCAAACTTCATTAAACACCCAACTTCTTTATAATCCCCATAGGTTAAAGTCTCCATACGCATTTAAAATGTATTGATTTCATGTTTTTTAATTTAGAAATTTTTCCATTTTATTGCATGGGGGTCTTTAAAAAATGTCCTTAAGATAAAGTAGGGAAATTTTCCCGGGAAAAACAATTATTATGTTTCGTTGGGAGCAACAATAAAGCTTTTATGAGTATGGATCTATTTTTTTGGGTTTTCTTGGAAGAAATAATGAAAAAAAAAGTTTTATTTTTTACAATTTTTACAAAAGGATTCCCTCTTTTGCCCCTAGCTATTTTTTATGGCTTAAATAAAATTTTACTGAAAAACCTCATTTCAAATTCAATGGTTTTCATCAAAATTTTCAGGGGCTGTTCAAAACCTCTAACATGTCCTTTAAATTCCCTTTCCCCAAATTCTAGATGAAAAACGCTTTTACTTTTAAATTTTCTAGTTTTTCAGCATTTTTTTCCCCTTTTTATTTACTTTGCCTGGCTTTTTCCGTTTCTTGCCTATTATTCCGGCGAATTAGAACATCATGGTGGGCAATTTTTGACAGAGATGTGAGCAGTAAGTACACCATTATACAGAGTCTTGTTATTGACCATGGCGCTGACATCAACGCTATAATCTTCCAAATACACATGGTGGACCCAAATACCTGAACTGAAATGCCAAACAATACATATATAATGAAATGTGATGCTTAATTATGATCTTCCAAAACTCATTCTGTAAAAAAAGAATATACTATTTGCAACATGAAACGTGTGAAACATGTCATACTGACAACAATGTTTTAACCATATTCATCTGCTGGAACTGGTATTCTTCTCATCAATGCTGGCTGACCAAGCTCACATCAACTGCCACAAACAGTGCATAACCGTACACCTTGTTTCATTATTAAAGAACAATAGTCAGACACCTTTACTAAAAGTTATTCTAAAAACAAAGTGTTGTTCTACATAAAAATACGAAGGGCATTAATTGTTTCACAAAATAAATTAAGCTTATTGAATAATTTTTCTTATTACAACAAAGTAACAAAGACAAAACTTACTTTCTGGCAGAGATGTGTAATAACATAGATACAACATCAAAAGAAACACGTGATTTCCATACACCCATAAATTGGTAAATATCTGAAACATGAAGATTTTGAAAATTAGCAGCAAGTCAGTGGAATCCGGGTGATTTTCTTTTAGCTACCATTACTATTCAGGGAAGTCACAGAGACTGGCTGTAGAAATTAAGTAGTTTAAACGAATAAAAATGTAACCTGTATAATGATGAAACTGTTATGAATCAGTGACAAAACATAATGTATTCAGATAATCATGGTTAACATCAAGATTTATAGCCAGTAAATTTGTCTTTGCTTAAAATATCAAACGGCATAAGTTAAAGATCAAACCTTTTTGTTGAAATAAATATTTAATAACCAGTCATCGGCTCTAGTATAGTTGTTGTTTCTATACATGGCTGCACTGAAATAATAACAAAAACTTGACATTTGTACCACCATTTCATTACCAAGTAAAGGATAATACCAGACACCTCCGAGGGTGACCGTGAAAGATAAGTAACACTTGCCGAAATCATCAACAGAGGGACCTAGTATACATTTTATCAAAACGGATGTTATGTAGCAATGACATTTTTATAACCTATATAAAAGTAGAAGAAACAGTTAAACAACAATTGTTCTTTCCTACAAAGTATTGTATGGGTCTATACTAGCCAAAACTCCGATTTCCAAAAAAAAGTATGTTTTTAAACGCACGGGATATTTTGTTGTAACAACAACCGCAATTTAACGAGACAGCAAGATAAAAAAGATGTTATTTGGCAAATAACCAATGACAATCAATATATAGATTTTCTTGAATGGATCTTGTACGGATACATAAAAACATTTAACATCTTAAGGTAAAATGGTAATTTGCCATAATGTATTCATGATAATATTCAATTTCTAAACTACAACGTACTAAATGTACCAATTTTCCGCACGTACATAGCTTTTTTAGAAACAATCACATCTTTACATTTCAACTGATTTAGACATTAATAAACTTAAAAAGTAATTTATAGTGATATGTTCTAAATCCAATTCAAAAGAAAGATCAAAAATATATTTACGCAGCAAAAAAATTCTTAGAAACTTAAAGTTTGAAATGGTCGCGACAAACTATTATGCGGAATGAAAAAACAAAAAACATTTTTTCACATGCCACTATAAACGTTTTGCCTCAACTTCACGGTGCATATCCAGTAAACGCAGGAATGTGCAATTAAAAGTAAACCGCCGAAACGCTATTGCCAAAACGAATACACCGTAAGTTAACGAACCAAAATTTTTTTCTAATAAATTTAAAGAAATGAACTTAAGCGATTAGGGTGCTACGACATTATTCTTAAACCACCATTACAATTTTATTTTCAGGAATATGTTTACTTCTTTAGATCATTCGTGGGAAAGACAACCTGATTACCGTTTTAAGGGTGACTTTTGTGTTTCGTCAAATAAATATGTACATGTACAATTAACACATAAAAACTTTTTTTTCATATTCTGACAATAGGAGGAAGCTGGTAAAATAGGATTTAGCTACTTTTAATGAGATAACCGCCGTTGCTTCAGTACTTCATTCACGAATTCGGCGTTACTTCTAAAAATGGTCTCAAATACTTTTTATCTGCTTAATTAAGTATAAGATTGGAAAATGTATCAGGTACATTGAAATTTAACAAAAATTAGTCAAGTAATTCAAAATTAAAAATTTTTTTTTACTTATTTGATAAATTTTTCCCTGAGAGCTATGTCATAAAAGTAAAAGTTTGGAAAATAAAGAGTGTTGGATTGAGGGGCTTTTGCCCCCCACAAAAATGATACTGTAGCTTTATTTATAAAATTCAATGATATACCAAACAAAAAATGCTGAAATCAATCAACAATTATGAAAACAAATGTTAAATTATAAGTGTTAAAATAAAATTCAAAAGATTTCTATGTAAATGTGGATCCTCCGAGAACGTGATGTATTATTTTTCTTAAAGTTTTTGTATACCGGGGGAAATGAAAAAAATTAACATGGGTTCCTATATCCTAAAGGGTCTGACATAAAGTTTACTTTTTTATACCTCTGAAATACATGCATATATTTTTACTACATTTCTGATATTATACAATGTTTTTTTTATACAAAAATAATTCAGATACGAAAACCAGATTTTCTATTTTTGGCCATTGACTACTTGGAAATATGTAGCTCGACTAACCTGTCAGTATGATCTACGAAATATTCAAAAAGAAAACATTTAAAGTTTTAAACATAAGACAATAATTTTTCAAAGAACTTACTTTGATTGAAATATCTGGCTGAATTTCCATCTAGCTCATCCAAACTGACACTAACAACATAACATATACATGCTACATTATAGTTGCCAATAGAAGCATTATAAACAAAGTAGGCTAAGAATGCTACACGGATGTAATCTGGAGAAAAAAATAAAGATCTAACTTTCAAAAAGACCGAACTTACAATCCATTTATTTATATGAATGTATACATGTTGTTTGTTTTTATTTCGCATTAAACAAGTCACAGCATTTTTAAATGCATGAGCTTTAAGTATACATGTATTTTCTTTAAAAATCAAAATTTTTAATTATACGTGCCTTATTTATTTATATAATATGTGCTTGCCTTATATTTAATTTGTAATAAATCCCTTAAATGATTTATTCTAAGAAACAATCAATCAATAGAAACATCAAATACACATTAACGATAAAATCATAGCAACATTAGTCTCTAGCAATATTAAATCCATAGCAACTATAAATTCCTTGCATTTGATTTTGTTTACTTACCAATAATATTTGGAACAAACAGGAACACATTGTCCGTATTAAAGTAACCTTTGTAACCTTAAATAGAAACAATATAATGTAATAAGAAACTGAATACATAAATGTATACATGCACTGCTTAGAAAGTACGTATTGCAGTTCAGTTCTTGTTAAGAGTTTATTTCTAGTATTAAACATGTAGTCATAACACACTTGTGTCTGTTATTTCTCATTAGAATCATATATTGTATACTTGTGACATACTCACATACGACACAACATTAATAAATATCGAACATACATTCTAAAATTGTTAAAAGGACGTAAATGTGTCAAAACTATAAATTGTTATGTTCCTCACCATTTTTGTTCCCACTTGGAAAGAGAACAAGTAGAATGATTTTAATGAGAAAATTTAATACACCAAATTAAAATGGCAATAATTAACTCGGCTTTTTGTAATATCTGATATATACATGTATATTTATAGGTTTCGTGACTTCAGTTTTGGGATATTAATTAAAATTAACTAGCGACAAGGCTCGGTGAGACACGATAGAATTTAACTAACACTGTTCGCTATTACATGAACTATATCCCGGGATAGACTCCGGGTCTAACTTTAGAAGTATATATAAGGTTCATTCCATTTTCTTTAATTATCTGATTATTATTACTCCTGAACAATACAGACCAAATTCATTGATGTCAATATGTTCTATTATTTATTTATATTTCTTACATTTATAACATTATTAAAGCATATTTAATTTTCTGGATTTACTCTCATTAAAAGTGTGAATTTTCTTTTAAAACTAACGACTTATCTCAGGAAAACATTTAGTAGTGTTCAATCAACATGGCTGCTCTTATCGAATAATCTTCTGAAGTACAGGGACAACACAGTGAATATTGAATGACTTGTTTCATTTTAAGATAAATCAAAAGTTGAAACATGGACAAACAACAAATTAATGAAAACTAACAAAAAAACACAATAAAACTCACACCAGAATTATAAAATATAGAGGATAACTCGACAAATAATTAGAAATTAAAGATGATATAAGCGACATGTGTTAACACACGTGTTTCTTCTAATAATGAAAACAAAAGCAAACTAAATATTTTCACCTGTTTTCTCGTCCGCGTCTTCACATTTTATTGCCATGTCCTAAATCTGAGTTAAATTTTTAACACCTGCTAACGATGAGAATTACAGAAGACTACATTCACTGTATGTATACAGCGACAGATTAACTTCATACCGGACGTGCTTTTACAAGAGGGTCTCCGTATAGACTTCTATACGAGTGGAGGTTTACAATAGACACTACTGTGAGACGCATATACATGTATTTTATGCCACTGTTGTATTCCTGTTTACTATATCAGTTAATGTTTCCACAGCAATATTTCCCCTATTTAAGTTTACGTTTAAGTGGTTAAATTGGCCAACGACCACGAACAAAATGTATAAAAATTACGTTTTACATTAACATATGAAATGCCTATTTAAATAGTTTTTGAATAGAAAATATGATGATTTTGACCCCGTTGAAAATTGACCCCAATGGATAATTTTTTCAGCGTTAAAAAGAAGCCCTGCCAACATTTTAATTAACATTAAATTTTGATTTAAAACAAAAAAAAAGTCGTTGAATTCTTATCAGGCGTAGAATTTTGATCAAAATTTGGTCTTTTTTTAACAGTTTGTAAAGTTTAAGTTAAACTTAATATACGAAAATTGTTATTGGATATGTTTTGTTTACAGACAGCAGAGAGATATTCACTTAGTAGAATCATAAAGGGTATATACGATGCGCGCGCATCATCAAAGTTCTGATAGCGCGAACACTTTAATTATTGACCGGCATTTTGAAGAAAAACAGTCATGTAAAGAAAAGAAAATAAGGTATGATTTTAATTTCTTTTGCAAAGAAGATGTCCTTATTTCTAGCTTTAATATTCACAACGCGATCTGTCTTGTCGATATTTCACGTTGATTGCGATTTGGATTCTGGATAATGCGTAAACTTGTGCGTACACCCGGTGGCGTTCAAATGTTACTGAAATTGAGTAAATGTCCATTAATTTGACCGTTTCAAACGTCTGGAAATGCTTTCATCGGAGATCTTACTCAAAAGTATATTTACAACCTCTGATTCTGTTTTCATTTGTACGAAAAGAATGCCTTAGCATGCTCTATTTACAGAAAGAAAAAAAGAAATTGTGATACTGCGTACACACTCAACACTTTTATTAACATAATTTAAGACTTAACTTTCAAGTCGAACATAAAATAAAGCACATTTCAATCATACATTTATAAAATTTACAAATTGTAATATCATGATTTTTCTCATTGTAATCTATATATTCATAAATTCATGAATATCATAAAATGACGTTAACAAAATATTTGCCAGCTTTGACCTATGACAGAACAGGGTAAAGCTATGACTAATAAGTGTCATGATAACAATCTCTTCTGTGGCAAATGCAGATATTGGTTTTTTGTTTTTTTTTTTTTTTTTTTTTTTTTTGGGGGGGGGGGGGGGGGGGGGGGGTATGCATATTCCTTGTTAGTTCTGGCTTTCAAAACTTTATAAGCCGCTTTTTAAAATGTTTGCTTTTTTCTGATGTTATAGTATATAAACGGGTACGCTGAAGACCTTAAGCTAATTCCTTGTGCGGTAAATACTTATGCGATGTATCAATGTATAGTCCCCGGATTTTATGTGATTTATTGTATAACAAAGCTTCGTGTTCCTATATGTTTTCTTATGCTGAATACAGTACAAAAGTAAAAGTAAAAAATACCAAACGAAATTCGATGGTCATATATCGACATCGTATTAGCCGGGTTACGCCTCAATACACGAGTCCTGTTCCACGTAGATCTACTGATATAATTTTTTAAAGGAACGGACCCAAAAGGGGAAAGAAATTGGGAACCTTGGGTGTCTGTATTGTTCTTTTCATTTATTAAAACCATTTATAATTATTTTATGAGTTACTTCCTATTATGAATTGAAACACCTTCTTATTTAAAACCGGAATCCATTATATAAACCCCAGTTCAAAAAATGAAACCCAACCTCGTGTATGAAACCCAGAGCAATATATAATTTTATTTTCTCAAAATTGATTTTAAAATTTTTCAATATAGGTACCCCAAATAGCCATTGGGAAAAAGATGTCCTTTTATGAAAAACCGAAATTATCAAAATATTAATTCATTTTCAAAAAAAATGAAAACCCTGATCAATTTATGAAACCAAAAAAGAAATTATAAGTTGGGGTTTTCATTATATGTTCCAAAATTTTTCTAATGGGGCCAAAGTAGCCATATAGGGACCAGTGTCCTTATATAAACCAAAATTTATAAATTAAAAATTAAATTCTTTTTTTAAAAATTTATAAACCAATTTTCATGTAGGGAACCAAAGTGCATTATACTTGATTATTTTTATATAACTTTTCTTCAATATGGTAAAAACCAAAGGAAACATTTTATATGAAACCGAATTATCAATTTTTAAATTATTTTTAAAAAATTATTAAACCTTTATCAATGTAGGGAACCAAATAGCATTTGCTTGTTTATCATTTATATGTACCATTTTCAATATATGGTCCCAAAAAACCCATTTTTTAAAACCAGGTGCCTATATAAACCTTTTATCATATATTATGTTTTTTTTAAAAAATATAAAAACCTTTTTTTTTATTAGGGGAACCCAAAAGTGCATATATAAATTGACTTACATTCTATGAATGTAAATTTTTATTATTGGAACCAAAAAAGCCTATTCTCAAGTCAACAAGTCAAAGGCCGAGGTCACTGGGTTCCGTTATTACAATGCATACACTTTTTCATGAAATCAATTATTATTTGACTTATTATTTTTAAACTTTGTGAGTAGATTAACCTTGATTTGTCCTACTGGCCATGCCCATTTTTGATCAAAGGTAAAGGTCGAGATTAACTTATTTTTTGAATATTTTTTGTTAATGGTCAGTAGGACTCAATAGCTTAAATTATGACATACAACTCGTACATGTATAACGATAAGTTTTGCCTGCCAAGCCCATTTTAAGTGAATGTGACGTTAAATTCAAATATTTCCTTATTCAGAAAATGTGCAGTATGCAATCAGTGAAGCACGCTGGTCTTTTGACAGTTCAACAAGGAATATTGGCGCGAAACTGTAATACCGGTGCTAGGATAGAATACACTCTTTAAAAAAAGTCCCGTCAATATAATGACATTTTGGCTCCATATATTGCTACTTTGGTATCATATATTTATGGAAGCCCTGGAGGGACATTTGAAATTAATATTTAAAACTTAATTCTTAATATTTAAAATTTAATTCTTAATATTTAGAAATTAATTCTTAATACTTAAAAATTAAGAACAGAATACATAATACGCGGGTATTTGAATTCAACGGTCTCTTGCAAAAGGTTGTTATACGAAGAAAAACTGGCAAATTCGATGTAGCTGCTCACAGGTAATTGCCATTTTATATAAACATTAAACATTCCCCGATTGATATATTTTTCATGGTAACAGTTGAAACGATTCAGATAATTATGTTAGTTTTAACAAAGACGCCAGATACGGTGCCGCTTTACATTTTATTGATTACATGGTGCCAAAAGCAGCGGTTGAGAAAGTTTATCATTACATTTTGTTCTGGTTGAAGCGTTAAATCTGACAGAAATATACCTGCTAGTCAGGGGGTTCGGTTTGTCTAACGATAATGTTTAGTTGTTGGTGGTGGATAACGATATAACATGTTTACAGCCCCAACCCTTTGTTTTTATAACGCTATATTTCATTTCTTTCTATTTCTTTTAAGGTCGTAAACATGGAGATGTTTGCCTTTATCATTTTATTGAAAGTGACTCCTGTGCCATCTGAAAACGGAAGCACCAGGTTAGAAGTGATTTCGCAGTACTTTCATGCTGACTTCAAGAACGCAGAAATTGTTTTACTTCTCCTTTGTGAACACAACATACGTCTTGGTCTTCGTCCATTTAAGAGGATACTTCGTTGTAATAATTAAAGGCGTCACCTAGTCATGTATACGCCGCAAGAAATCGTGCAGGTAGAGTAGAAAAAGAATTGCAGTTTAGCGGAGACGGCTTATGGTACCAAGATGGATGAACAAGTTGAAGGATTTGAGAACTCGTGGACGAATTGATACGTCAAACACTATTCATGCAGAATGCTTGCGATTTTATGTAACGGGTGTTCTTCAGGTGGGACATTATCGCATTGTATTCACTGGAATTTACACAATGTGTGACCACAGAAACATGTAGACACTTGTACTGGAAGACCAGAAATAAAATATTGTTTAATGTACTAGTACTATCAGGTTCTACTGATTATGGTGTTAATGTTGATTTGTAGGATATTGAATATGAACCAAATCCAGATGATTGAACATTAGACAATATTATATATACTTATTAATGAATAAACATTGATGTTCATGGTTTTCCGAAGTATGTGCTTTTTATGTTTAAATGCTAGCTAAAATGGATCTCAAGTACGCGTTACTTATTGTTAGAGCAGGTCATAAATCAAACGGAAAAAAATAAAAGAACTTAAACACGAGAACTTTCTTGAAACATTCTGATTCTACATTGATGATTGCATGACAAATCAGACTGTGTAAACATTACTAGAAATCTAAGTAAACCGTATGTAGGAAATTAGTAGATAAACCTTATGAGCTCTGTGTAGGCAGTACTAACAATTTGCCAAATGTTCTTCAGAATGGGTCACATTTTAGGACTTTTTAACCGCAAAAGCCCACGTTTCAACTTTGATCTACATATATGACCTTTGATAAAGTTACAAGTTGTTCCAACTGAAAAAAGATCTGTAGTGTTCGAAATGTTTTTCTTTGAGTTGACCTATTTTTTACCCAAATGACCAAGATTCAAACTCGACCTAAAGATTATCTCATGAATTTTTAAGTTGTTCAAGTTAAAAATACAGCATCTAAAGTGTTCTCTATGTTTTTTCTTTGATTTGAACTTGTGACCTAGTTTATGACCCCAGATAACCTAGATTAAAAATTGACCTAGAAAATCAATTAGATAAACATTGTGAACAATTTTGACGAAGATGTATACAAAATGTGACCTGTATTGTGTTCACAAGGGAAATTTTGAGAAACACAGCGGGCAACAGCAGCTCACCTTTGAGCTGAGCTAAAAAGGAATCAAGATATATCAGATTTTGTCCTTTTTGAATT